GTACAGATATTGACATTGGACTAATTTTCACATCGTTTAAAATAAAAAATTTCTTCTTATTTGAAGATCCGATCCCTTACTCTATTAAATCCAAAGGTGGTATATGAATTCAATTGCATGTGATGTAATTCATCAATCTATGTTGGTTTGTAATACGCAGACGTTGTACAGGTGTCATAGGATTTTGGATGTAAAATGTCAAATATAGGCAGTTGATCTTGTTGTTCAGTTTCGAATGAAAATCTAATGTTTGAGTCCTGTTTGTTGATGGCCTCGGTAAAAATACAAAAAATATCGTCAACGTTTTTGCGGTAAAATAGTGGTTTAGTTCTGTTGTAAGCAGAGGAAAATGTTAGTACAGGAAAATGTTAGCAAATAGGGGGGGGGGCTAGGGAGAACCCATCTCAACACCGTCTGTCTGGTCATAAATTTTCCAATCAAACAAAATATGCGTCTGTGCTTTCGTTATGAAAAACAGTCGTGTGAGGTCCGTCATGTTTATAGTGAGCCTGGGGTTGTGAGTGAATATTGGGTCAATTGGTAGATTGATAGTTTCTGTCAGTGTTATGTTAGTGAATAGGCTTTCAATGTCGTAGGAGATGAAAAATTTGTGACAAGAGGTGGTTGAGTTGAAAGATGCGAAGTTGTCGAGGAAAGTGGAAGAATTTTTAGTGGAGGAGTGGTCATCTGGTATGAGTGGTGTTAGTAGGGAACTAAGATATTTACTTTATTTGCGTAAGCATAAGGCCCGCTGGTCTAGTGGTATGATTCTCGCTTCGGGTGCGAGAGATCCCGGGTTCAATTCTCGGTGGGCTCAAGGAGGCCATTAAACAATCACAGATACCATGACGCTATTTTTTGTGTTCTTACTAGCGAAACTGAGGCCATGAAGATTTATAATTACATTAACCCACAGCACGCAAACATTCGATTTTTATTTGACACTGAACAACAAGATCAACTGCATATATTTGACATTTTACAACCAAAATCTCATGAAACTTGTACAACGCCTACATATCACAAACCAACATACACAGGCTTCTGAGGAAACTATTTTAGTTTTCCACCACTTTCATACAAAGCCAGATTTATACACACATTCATTAACAGACCATACAAACTTAACAATACGAACAATGGCCTTCAACGAGATGTAAAAAACAGCATATCCATTGTTTTACGAAACTCCTTCCCACTGCAATTATTAACAGAACCATAAAATGATATCTTGACTGCAAAAATAGCAATAACCTCAAAATAGGCACTATTCGACAACCACGCAAACGAAAATTCCGAAATAAAAACTCAATACTATAAACTACTATACATCGATTATTACTCACGACAAAACGGGGCAGACTCACGAACTTTATGAAACGCTTCTGTACAGATGACATTTGACTAATTTTCAAATCATTGAAAATCAAAAACTTCTTCTCATTCAAAGACTTGATCCCAGATTAATTTAAATATATGGTGCTATATGAATCATAACTTGTAACATCCAAGTCTGTTGTACAATTTATTTGTGGACTGTCTTGGTTCACAGACTCTGACTCAGTACACTGCTCAGGAGCAGCGATTTCAGCTGCAAAAATGGCCTTATCCTCATGCTCAAAGCGTTTTTTAGTACTCCCTTCACACAGAAATTTTCGTCTTTTATTGTGGGAATATTTGATTTGCTTCTATCTTTCGGCGGTAATCGTTTACTGGTTTCTTTTGATTGGTATCTTTTTAGATACAAAGTTGGATTGGGAAAGCCTTCGAATCGATAACCAGCAAGGAAATTATTAGAAAAAACCCTTGTATTAGTAGTGACTTTGCAGTTTTTCCTGTTGATCAGCTTTTGCTAAGCACTCTTGTCTTTCGTTTTTTGGAGAAAAAAGCGAAACGTGATAGGAAACGATATATTTTTCAGGAAATCTCCTATCGTTATCACAGCCATAAACAGCACAGTGATCCCCTTTTCCCATTATAATTTAAATATAAACTTTTAACGAAAAGATATCTTTATAAAGATACAAAATGTTTGACCCTGGCGATCCCAGAATGCATTGCAAAAACCGCGCAAATTTAAGAGAGACTGGCTCCCGGCAAATACCTAATTACCGGAACCTTACAAACGACTTATTCACAATACAAACAAATGATCACCTAAAAACATTACACTTCACACTAATCCACAATGACAATACACAATTGACTCACACACATTTCCTGTACACACAATACAATGACGTAAGAACCAGATAACAAATACGGCTAACCTGACGTTTACTTCTCATTTGACTCTGAAGATGACTACAGCTAAGGTTGTCGAAACGTCAGTCCACAACAACAAAAACAGTTCTTCTCAGGACTATACCAACCTGGGTGATCTACATTTACGAGCATGTAATGATACTCCCGGGTTCAAACCATTTACTTTGTCGTTGTAATTATTTAGCCAGTTTCGTTCATGTCATGAGCTAATAAAAATGCTATCAAGTATGGGTGCTAATAAGAATTCATCCCAACATTTTCCATCTGGTTATAAAATTCCCATTAAACAAAAAATATGTCTGTGCTGTTGCTATGAAAAAGAGTTGCGAGAGGTCCGTCTTGTTTATAGGGAGACTGGGGTTGTAAGTGAATATTGTATCAATTATTAGAATGATGGCTTCAGTCAGTTGTGTGTTAGTGAATAGATATTCAATAGGAAATGAAGAGTTTGTGACAAGAGTTGGATGAGTTAAAAGATGCAAATTCTTCAAAGAAAGGGGAAAGAATCTATAGTAGAATAGACATCTGGTATGAGTGATGTTAGTAGGGAACTAAGATACTTAAATAGATTATATATTATATAATATGGAAGCGTCACTTCCTGCTAAATGGGACGCTTTCATTAGTTTAGAAACATTTTTGCCGGTCCATTATTTTCCCGTAATCGACCACGGTCCAAAACGGGTAATTTTACAGTTAAATGCCCTCAAACTTCGTATTGTATACAGCAAAACGCAAAATCAACAAAACAAATCACCATTTGCAACAGTGTTTCGAAGGAAAAACTTTTGGAAAACAGTTTAACTATACAGGCGATACAATTTGAAAAGACTTATTTTGATGGACTAAAACTAGAAAAGTGAAAGGCAATCGGCAAAAAACAGCAAGGACGAAAAAGAAAACAAGCTTTGTTTCATGTTAAATAATGCCATATTATAAACCTTTAATACCTTGCTTTCTCGGTCTTTACTGAAAAATATCGGACCAAAAAAACTGTACAAAAAAACTTTGGTTCCTCTGTTAAGACCTCGAACGTGGTAGTTAAGAGCTTGGCACTAAAGCATGCACGTGGCCCGCTTGTCTAGTGGTATGATTTTCGCTTAGGGTGCGAGAGGTCCCGAGCCCAATTCCCGGGCGGGCCCGATACGTAAAACCATAACAACGGCACTAACCCACTATTTTACGTAGATACCTTGAAGATGTTTTTTGTGTCTTTACTAATGAAACCGTACATATCCCACTACACTTTGTTAGCAGAACCGTAAAACAATATCTCGACAATAAAAATAACAATAACCTCAAACTGGAATTAAAGTCCTGATACGACGACCACGACCGATGAAAACGAAAATTCCAAAATAACAACTCAACTGCAATACATCGGACATTACTCACGGCACACACAGGACGGACTTACGAACATTATGAAAAGCTTCCGTACAGATAATTTTCACATCACTTAAAATCAAATACTTCTTCTAATTCAAAGACTCTATCCCCGATTCAATTAAATATATGGTGGTACACGAGTTCAACTGCGCGTGATGTAAGTCCCTACATATTGGCGAAACTTCGAGCCATTTATCCACCAGAATTAGAGAACATACCACAACAGACAAAAAACTCTCATACATTAGAGAACAGGCTTACAAAATAATAGTAATCATCACATGCAGCTGCTGCAAAATAAGGATTATTGTATAGAATTTCAAAGGGTTATGAAACTCTAGATGACTGTGACGATTATGTTTGCAACCACCAAAACACTGTTATGAATTGTTTTGTATCAAGAGGATGGAACACTCAAATTGCCAATCATTAAGATTGGTCAACACTCAAACCTCCAAAAAATGATAATTATACATTATGTTTCTTTAGTTTTTTTCAAATCCAACCCAATTTCATTAGACAAAATGTTTCGAGATTTTGTGAAAATAATTTTTGTATTTAGACCTCTAGACTCGACATTAATTTTATGAGATAAGCAAGATTTTACCGAAATTATATTGTTGAACATGTTTCCTTAGGTACAGAGAATTTATTAAGGTAGATGGAAGGTAAATTTAAAAGATCATGAACTCTGTTTTGGGAAGATCAATATTGAACTTGAGCTGCTTTGTATTGAGAGGATTGAGCACTTAAATTGGCAATCATTAAGGATAGTTACCACTCAAACCTCCAAAAAATGATGATTATGCATTATGCTTTTTTAGTTTTTTTAATCCCACTCAATTTTATTGAAATATTGTAATAAGTCTTTTTACACACGAAAAGACATCATGACCCGTGACTACTGAAAGAATAATGGCTGAAAGGCCTGGAGTAGGTATTAACTTGGGCAGTATGTACTACATGGAAGGAAAGGTTAAAATCATTCAAAACGATAAATGGAACAGAAAATGCCAAGATAAAAACTCTTTGTTGCTTTCATCATATCTCAGCGTATTCGTGACACTGCATGCTAAAAGCCAAGTAGCCATGCATCCAATCAACAACAATGTTTTTAGTAGCCTCTTCCATATTTTCAGTTGTTTGTTTGTTTGCATTATTTTTTTAATATATTCGAGGGTAATTATGTTAATTTTAAAAGCTGCTTTGTTTCATTTTCATTTTATACAAATGAAAATGAAAGGGCTTAATTTAGCCATTAACAGCTCCGTTAGAAAATTTCTTCCAAGTAAATTTTATTTCTAACAGCGCGTGTAGAAATTTGCCTTTGTTTCAGTGCAAGAGAATTAAGTCTTAATTACTATAAGAATAAATGGCTAGAAGTCCAGCAATAGGTATTGATTTGGGTACTAAGTACTCCTGTGTTGGTGTATTTCAACATGGAAAGGTTGAAATCATTGCAAACGATCAAGGAAACCGAACAACGCCAAGTTATGTTGCCTTTACAGAAGATGGACGTCTTATCGGCGATGCTGCAATAAACCAAGTAGCCATAAATCCTACCAACACAGTTTTTAGTAAGATAATTTATTTTCATTTATTGTTTGTTATGTGAATATTTTAAGATCTTTATGAGTAGTTATTTTTATTTAAGGGCTGCTCTTTGTTTCATTTTCATTTTGGTACAAAAACCGTTACAGCCTACCTATTGTGTAGTCTAGTGAAAGGTTGTGGGCTTTAGAACTTGACGTATATATTTAAAGCCAGGGGCAAAACAGGTTGGTGAAACTGACACCACGGCATCAATGATATTGCGTACATTTTGTGATCATTATATTCAAAAGCAAAGATCTTTAGGCAATGCTTATTTGTCATACAATATTATAGCCTAAAGAAGAGGTAGCTAGACAATTTATATGGATGGTTTGAAAAATATAATACTGCAGGTTAATGAACATGTTTCAAATCATGTTAAATATTCAATATCATTAACGTAACGAAATAAAATATGTTCGGGATTTGAAAAATGTGCTTTGTACTTACTGCTCATTCAAATGGTTCTGTAACTGTCATAAAACTTTTGCTTGTCCTAGACTCCCTTAGCGTGACAGGGTTATATTTAATATATCGTGAAAAACGATGCCCTTACGAATTTTCTTAAGGATTTCTATTTTTGAGCAATAACTTCATTGTCATTGTGAAGTATATCAAAAGACACATCAAATAATGTTCACTCAACTGTTAATTAAATCAATACAAAACTATCTTGTATTGATACCCATACACACTTTCGTTGCTGCATGCAGATCCAAGGTATTTCAAAAACAATACAGAGTAGGTGTTTCCAATTTCCGAAATAAGTTACCTCTATTTTTATTGCATAGTAATATTCTAGACTTATACAGCTATCGTTAAAATTTATATTAAAATGGTGTTTTGATATTAAAAGTAGCCGCTACAGTGATTCTGACTTCCCATAAATCTGACATTGCTTTTTTCTATGAACATTTCCGATAGACTATAATTCCTATGATCCTGTTCAAACTGAAAACAATGTTTTATCTTTGAACGCAAAGGCTTCGCAATGATTGAATCCTAGCACTTCACAATTGATTGCATGTCATTTATTGCATTTCCTGTTCATAGTTTGACACGTATCATGTTTATTGTTATTTTAAATTTATGTAAATCTATAAAACAGATAATAATTGAACTTCATAGACGTCTAAAAACAAAGTTAAATTTATTTGCAATCTGTTTTTCATTTTATGAACCAGCTGCATTTGTATGATATATACTAATAAGAATGATTTGTTAGGTTCTTTAACCATTAAATCACTTGAAAATGGTGTTTTGTTACATTTAGTGACATCATAAGTTTATGTGACGTAGTATGAACGGGTTATAGAACAGTAGTTGGGATTAGGTTGTCGTACTAGCAACATGTAATGATGCTATGAATATGAATCACTAAATAAAAAAAAGGTTAGGCTTCTTAAAAAATCATTATGCGTGCCTCCATTTTTGTAAGACAACATCATCTCTAACAATAAGGATGTAATTTATATTTGTAATCGCCCACAAATTTTCCATTAGACAAATTTATAATTATGACAGCATAAAGACAGACAAATGGATCCGTTTTGATTTACAATCACGAAATTACATTTGTTTTGACTTGATTGTTAACGAGTTTTTAATTATTTTGCAATATTTATATAATAGATGATAATAGTTCGCAGCAGTACAAAGTTTTGTTAATACCATTGCGAAAAAAAGAAATACCAGTGTAAATTCTTTATAAAAATTCTTTTGATTGGTTAGTCTAACAAAAATGTAATCCAAAATGATACATCTCACGGGACTTTTTTATAGATTCGAAACGTTGGATTGGCCGAAAGTTTAAGGATGCCGAAGTTCAGTCTGACATGAAACATTGGCCTTACACTGTAATCAATGATGGCTCACGTCCAAAAGTGGAAGTAGAATATAAAGGAGAGAAGAAACGCTTTTTCCCAGAAGAAGTAATGCTAAAATTTTCTTTCTTAAAAAAATAGATTTTTACGTATTCTGAAAACATATTTCTGCTATAGATATCGTCAATGGTACTGACAAAATTGAAAGAGACTGCTGAAGCTTACCTTGGGCAAAAGGTAACTGATGCTGTTATCTCTGTTCCAGCTAATTTCAATAATTCACAACGTCAGGCTACAAAAGATGCAGGTAACTAAAGCCATTACCAATACTCGAGTTAGCTTTCTATTTCTGGGTGGTTAAATTACCTATAATTATCAGTTTAAATTTGAAGGTGTAATTGCTGGTCTCAATGTCCTCCGAATCATTAATGAGCCAACAGCAGCCGCCATTGCTTATGGTTTCAATAGAAATGTTAGATGTGAAAGGAATATATTGGTTTTTGACTTGGGAGGTGGAACATGCGATGTATCTGTTCTTAGCATCGAAGATGGTTTTTTTGAAGTAAAATCAACAGCTGGGGACACTCATCTTGGTGGGGAAGAGTTTGATCAGTATATGGTTGAACATTTCATCAAGGAATTCAAACGAAAACATAAGAAAGACATTTCTAGCAACAAGCGTGCGATGAGGCGTTTACGCACACAATGTGAAAGAGCCAAAAGAACTCTGTCGTCCAGTACACAGGCTAACGTAGAAATTGATTCACTCTTTGAAGGAATTTATTTCTGTACGAGTATTACCCGTGGACGCTTCGAAGAACTTTGTGCAGAAAAATTCCAAAGCACTCTAAAACCTGTAAAGAATGCACTAAAAGACACTCGTTTAAACAAGAATCAAATTCATGAAATAATTCTTGTTGGTGGTTCAACTCGTATCCCCAAAATTCAAAAATTATTGCAAGAATTTTTTGGAGGAAAAGAGCTAAACAAGTCAGTCAACCCTGACGAAGCTGTCGCGTATGGTGCTGCTGTCCAAGCTGCTTTCTTATCAGGTAACATAAGCAAAGATATTTTGCTCATTGATGTCACTTCACTTTCCCTTGGACTTGAAACTGCTGGTGGTGACATGACAGCTATCATTCCAAGAAACACAATCATTCCAACAAATACGACGAAGACGTTCTCTACTTACAATGATAATCAATCAGGTACTTTGCTGGAATGAAGTATATTTGTTTAATGTTCTATATTCTAAAATGCAGGAAAAATTTAAAGGAAAATTTTAGTTCCCAAACAAGTTTGATATTTTTTGTTTGTAGTTGTAGTATTTCAAGTATTTGAAGGTGAAGATGCCATGACGAAAGATAATAATCTTCTTGGCAAATTTGAACTGTCTAGTATTCCTCCAGCTCCTCGAGGTGTCCCCCATATCGATGTCACGTTTGATATCGATGCCAACGGTATTCTCAACGTGAGTGCAGTTGAGAAAAATACCGGCAAAGAAAATAAAATAGCCATTACTAACGACAATAGAGGATTAAACAAGGAAGATATCGAGAAAGCAGTTGCTGAAGCTAAGAAGTTCATGGCTGATGACAACAAAGAAAGGAGTCGTATTCAAGCTAGAAATTATCTAGAAAGTTATGCTTTCCAACTGAAACAATCAGCAAAAGAAATCTTGTATAAATGCAGAGAAGTTATTGCCTGGTTGGATTCAAATGAAAAAGCTGAAGAAAATGAATATAAAGCCAAACTAAAGGAGCTGCAAAATATGATAAATGATGACTAACTTTTTTTTACCAAAAACTTTGTTCTAGCATAAATAAGAATGAATATATATGAATGGATTGATTTTTCTAATGTCAGTGAGTTGCGTTTCTTAAATGGGTTATGCAATGAGCAGCAGTTGCAATGTACATACGTATTATAAATTTTTTTTTGCTTTTTCATAATATTCTTTTGATCTATTCGTCATTCATATTGCCAAATAAAATAGTAAAATTTCTGCATGGTGAGTCATTCTAATTGTTTGCAATATGCTAATAATAACTGCAGTCTTTTCTTCAAACCACGAAAAATTTGTAGGTACGATTTAAACCAAGCCTATATACTATAGAAAAGATGGCACCACAGCATTGCTACTATTGTCAAAATCTTCAGAGATTTTTTTGTTTTGTTTACAGCATTTTCTTCAAAGTTTTTTTCGAAGTTTTGCGATGTAACTATCTTTTTTTCCTAAAATTCTTGATATACTCACAACACCAACAAATAAAAATATCATTGATTGCTATGGTATCGCATTTAATATTTAACGTTTAACCTCCTACAAGTGTAGTAATTATACATTTATACAAATGGAAAAGGTGACAGTTTTTTTACCGAATATGTTTCCTAAAATATGTCATTTAGCTAGTTAAGCACTCATTTCTTCTACATGAATTATTGTGACGTATGAATCAGACAACTAATACATCGACAAAATAGCAAAATTTGCAATCGAGTAGAAACAGTTAATTCTTAGCTAGAGCTCGGGTTTCAATTCTGAATCCTAAGCAGTTTTCTTGAGAGGCAAGTCAGTTGGAGCATTATATTTAGTTATTTCAGCAGGTCAAAGCTCTGAATGTCTCGATGCTCTATAATGAAGAAAGTTTTAAAGATTACTGTCTGATAGCTTGTTTAAATGGAGCTGAGGCCCGAGTTACATGGTTAGACGAGTAACATGGCAGCGCCAAGATCTTGCGTGTTCTACAAATCCTTTGCTTAACTCGGTAGACTGTTTGTATAAGTCATTCGAGTAACTCGCCTTTCGAGTATGCCGGTATCTCGGCAGGGCTAGTTACTCCGTTGCACCATGTAAACACGCTTGAACGGGAAACTTGGTTTGACGAGTAGAGTAGTTACCAATCACGCGTGTGTGTCTTACGAATAGCAAGTAAACTCAACGATGATAACTCAAAAGCCCACAAAAATCAACTACGCCTTTTGAAACTTTTCTCCATTCATTTATTCTGATTTTTGCCGTGTTTAACACTTCGCGCTTAAATTAGAGAATACTTTGATTTCCTGGACTTTATATAAAACAATGTATCGGACTTTAAGCCGAATTTTTTGGTGCCACATAAACATAGTGCCGTTTTTCTCAGCCAGCCGAGTTACTCACCCTGCCGGGTAACTCGGCTCCATATAAACAGGCCCTGAGACACTGTCAGCACATGAATTTTCCCATGGATGCTCTCTACATATCTCAGTGATTCTTTTATTGTAAGGAGTCTTTGTTTGCAACTTTTTTACTTTCGAAAAGCAGGTTGTCAATGTTGACTTGCATTGTGATGTATTAAAGTTTGGACGAAATTTGGCAGTTTACTGTGTTTCATTTATCTGAACACATTACTCACATTAAAATTAGGTTGCTAATGGCAATTTAAAATCACCTAAATCTTTCGTTTTGACTCAATTCCTCATTTAGCTTTACGTAATTTCGTAAAGCTAATATTAATTTATCATCTTTTTTACAAGGGTTTTATGACTTTGATTGAAATTAGTTTTGTTTAAAACGTTGTTTACATCTTCGGATGAGGATAACATGTCAAAGCAGAACTTTTCTATTAGTTCAATTAGTCAGTAGTCCTTAGGCAGTTTTTATTCTTGTTAATTTCTAAAAGTCTGAATGTTCCTCATGATTGAAAAAAACTAAAGTTTTAAAAAAAATGCGTTTTCAGTCGCTATTGCCCACTATTTAAGAGTGGTTTGTTTCAATGGCTAGAAAACAAATTTCAATGAGGTACACATGACATCAGAATCAAAATTGAAAAACTGTAGTTTTTGGATCTCGTTGTTTGTTTTATTTTGTACTCAATACGCTAAATATTTTCTCAATGTTGTTCTGACTAAAATTATTGATAAGTTGCATCGCGTGATACCTTTAAATGTCACACTGCTTAACTCTATGCAAGGGAATCAATGACCTCACAAAATTCAAACTCTGGACGGAATCTACAAATATATTAGTTTGCTTTTACAAGGTGGAGTCTGGAATTCATTCTTTCTGGAATCCTTTTAAACACAAGTAGATGAAGTTCGAAATCCATGAGCTGTGATACGAGATCTGACCACAAAGTGGCTTCTTTGAAAACGAGAAAATGGTGTTTTCTTATCATTGCTTAAATAGGCTTTAGTTTTCAATAAGAAATATTTTACATGCATTTATCTGATTAAATTAATAAAACTTGGGAATGGGTATGGTTTGTTCAAGAAACAATGATTAACCTTTAGTGAATGTTTACATGGCATCTTTGTGTAGAGATCAATTAATAATAATCTTCCTTTTTTTATAATAAATAGTTCGGAACAAAAAAGTAAATGATGGATTAGATATCTAGCTTCCATAAAAAAAAGACATGCACTTGGTTAAAGTACTTATATCAGGGATAGAAAAATAGTTCTTTAGATGATTAAATTGAATTCAATTTAGCAATACATTCGATAAGGTTAGGGTCATTATTTTAATGCTTGAGGTAATGCTTGAGGTAATGCTTGAACGCTTCTGCTATTTAAAAAGAGCAGATTATGAAGAAGGCAAACATGATATTTTTGTGCAGTTGCAGTTAAAATTGGCAAGCAATCGCAAGAATAGCAATAGAAGTACGCTGGTGAATTATGACTATTCGATGTAAGTATAGTTAAGCAGCGTATGTCAAATTGACCTTCAAAAAAAAGATAAAAAAGATAAAATTGTGTGCTTTCAGATGAAGAGATTACTGAAATATGAACATGTGATTAATAAGAAAGATAGACCAGATCATGGTTGTTTCCTACATGAAAACTATCATCATTAAACTAAGTAGTGCAGCAATAAGGAAAGTGCAGAATGACAACAGATTTATTCCCAGAAAATTTTATTCCTCAATTTTTTTAATTATATATGGTAACTATGTTTAAAGCAAAAATTGATATTGTTTTTCAAACAACAACTTTAAATCACTCCACGCTTCATGAGGTAAGCACTGTATATGAAACTGTAAAGTATAGTAATAATTTATAACTAAGGAAAGATTTACAGTCTTTTTTGGTTACCAAAAATTCAATTGAGCATTTACTGCAATTTAAAAGATTTCAATTCCACTTTTTCCTGTTCCAGTAAATTTTTTGTAGTAACATTGCTGATTACGTCAGCATTTTCCTTCTTTCTGTTCATATGCATGGCAATGTTAAAAATGTTTTTATTTTTCTCTATTACTTTGTATCTGCATATTTTGTGTATAAACAATTCCTTAATATTTATGAGAGATATCATAATTCGCGGATTGCGGTAAAAGAAATACTAGAAAATAAAACTTCCAACAGTAAAACAAAATCAAGCATGACTGAGAAAAATGAACGACGCCTGGTTGAGGATATTGAATGTAGATGAAGAACCTAGCCTACACTCGAAATTTTGGAGGATCGGTGGACCAATAAAAACAAGGATGATTCGAATTATGTTGACGATGATAAAAGTCCTAGCAAGGACAAGGCTCCAATACAAAACAATTCTTTAATAACACTGAGTCCACTAAAGTTATGTTCAAAAGGAATATCGATGAATCACGTATACGGTTTGAAAGCTCGTTGCTTAAGTGTAGTATCGTCACTAAGGGGGGCCTAAGAGCACGTCAACCCTAAAAATTTATTGTTCTCCCACGTGCCCCCTCCCCATTCGAATTTTAGAAAGGGTCTTGAGATTCATCATTCGAAATCGAAAAAGAAGCATATGGCATTAATATAACTCTTGCGGAATTCGCACAACTTTACTGTAAATGGAAAGCATTCTAATATCTGTGCAAACTAGTTTGCATCGCATTTACGCTTTCTGCGTTGTCAGCCGAGTGATAAAGATTTTAATTCCTTTAAAATGAAAAAAAAAACAATATTTCTAGAATCAATAAAGTCTCTAGTGGGTAAAGAAGAACAAGTGATATTGTGATGCTTATCATGAACCACATTATACATCATCATAGAATTTATATGACATCGTGGCAAGTATACTCATAGACTCAAACTTTTAGATACGAAAATACAAAATAGCATTAATTAAGTCTAACGCTTATGAAAATACTACTATATTCTGCGAGTAAACATTTCGTTAGAATCAATAATCAATATACTTATCGTTATAACACGAAGAATCTAACAACCTAAAATGTATAATAGGAAGTTAAAGGAATGAAACTATTTATGTTGTTATTAATATTTCAAAAATCTCCCATTACAGAAGAAATTTGCAGGGCAAGTTCGCTTTTGACTTACGTTGTATGAATTTTGAGCCCTCTCCCCCCCCATTTGCAAAATCCTGGCGACGCCACTGCTCACGTGGTATATAGTAGTGGAAACTATTCATGATGTTGCTGAAGATATATAAAAATAACTACCATCGTCTTTCCTTTAGAAGGAATAGTCTGATTTCGAAAGTGAAGAGGAAGCAATCATCGCGAGAGATTTGCAAGAAGATGTAAAGTGAACTCTGCAAACTTTGTATATGCAGATGGATTATTGTTAGAAGAGTACTCTATGGAATGTTATTGACGGGGGATAATACAAGAACAAAAAAAGAATGTGGCCTATTCTCCCTGTTGTTGTTGGAAGGATTAGTTCGCGTTCATTAATATTTTCGATTATTAGCTTTATATGTGTTAGCTAACTGTATGTATGTGTAACTAAACATGAAAAAAATGTGAGCAATTTTCGTTTAGCTCAATAAATATGTATAAAGAATTATTATTTGCTTCTTTTCTATAACTTTTGCCAAATAGGATATAATTCAAGTAAATGTGTTTCGACATTTTTGGTTTTCTATTGATATTTTTCTAGGTGTATTCTTAAAAAGTCTAGTATCAAGAAAAAGAGTTTCGTCTTTGGATGATTTGAAAAGTTCGTTTTGAACTTCTAAGTTTCTTTACATTAAATTGCAGTGTTATAAAGAAAGTTATCCTTCTCGGAGTATGTATTTGCCAATATGATGATTATCCTTCGCGGAATATGTATTTGCCATTAAAGTGACGAAGAATTTACAGCTACTGTCTTCTACTTTGTGTAGATGTCTATATCCAGAGAGCAGTAATCAATGCTTAGCACAGCAGCTTCTTGGGCATTCTTTTATTTCTCCAAATCAGTGACGGATCGAGATTACGTCAAAATAAATTAAGGCTGCACATTTCTTAACAGCTATAAAATAACTTTGAATGTGATTTGGAATTAAAACTGAGTAGGTTTAATTTATTTTTACGTACAATGTATCCGCCACTTCTCCAAAACCCCATGTTGCTTTAAACAATGACATTGCTTCAGATTAGCCTGACACAGAAAAAGATAAGGGGAGAAATCAAAATGGCTTTTATGATGAAGATGAGTATCCTGATTTGATGCCTATTCCTTACGGTGTGAGAAATTCCAAAGTTTGGAATGAATTTAAGGTGTTAAAAATGCTTGGAAAAACGAGGGTTAGCTTCAGTTGACAAGGTAACTTTTTCTTATATACGTTGTTTGCCTATACGGTAATTTTGTGATGTGAATGAAATGGTGTACATGATTTGCTAAATAGCGAAATTTCTCGCTAAAAAAAGTTACTTTTTAGATTGAATAGTGAAAACATTGTAAGCTAAAAGAAATGTACTATCCAAAATGAATCAAAATTTTATAACGTAAGCTTTGAAAGCGAGGTCCAATTTAGACGATACAAATTGCTTAGGTTGTTAAATGTTATCTTTGTAGAAGCTATCATAAAAAAGTAGATACTCCCTTTTTTACATGAAGCCCATAGATACTTTCGTTTATGATGAGAGATTTATTGTATAAGGAGGCTCTTGTTCATCACAAGAGAGTTATGAGAAAGTTAAATTGTAAAACGTAACAAGTAAAATACGTATAATTATGCTTTGAGTTACTTTAAATTATAAGTCAAAAGGCAGATATTATTGATATTATTTGAAATTTTGATGTATCCTTGGATATTCTACTTTCTTTATTAGAAGAATTCTTGTAAAGAAAAAAGAGAAATTTTGAAAACAAAAAACCCGTTCTCTGTCAATGTCTCCCGATACACCGAGATAGTTTAGTACTAGAGCGTCGCATGTTAATATAGGGAACCAAATAATCCTTGTTTGCTATTTAGCCCACGGATGGTTAGCTCGGGATACACGAGAAATACTAAAAGCACAGAAAACCTAACCAGCCGATAATTTAAAGAAATGTAGTATAAAGCAAATTCCGAAAAAACAAGACATCTTGAGAAAAATATGCATCAAAACAAGACGAGAAGTGAACTGTAAATTTTCGACTTTATTTCAAAGTCATCCTGAGGTCTAGTATCCAGCATTGATATCGGTGTTAAAATCAACACTTATTTATCTAACACCAAAAATGGTGCTGTATCAGATTTCATAATGTGAATCAGCACTGATATCGGTGTTAAAACAACACTTTTCATGTAACACCACCTCGTGGTGTCAATTTAGCACCAATGAAGGTGTTCGTTTGACATTCTAAAATTAACTATGTTGTATGAGGAGTACAAGTTTAAGATATACAAGAAAACCATTTAAATCTTGTTATAGCTTACTCGTACAAAAGAAAACGTAATGTAGCAAAACCGTGTCCTCTATAGGTCGATTAATAAACCTTAATCTCTGTCATGTTTGAAAATCAATATACTCTTGTTAGCCAAAATGAATTCTAAAGATTCTTTATCAACTCAGTAATGTCGCTAATATTTGTTCGTATCTTCCGAATTTAACTCTTGAATGAGATTCCAAATTCCAGAGACTACGACAAACTAATATCTGGGGCGGTGTGTTGTATTCATATCTTCATATTTCACATTCCGTACTCTTAATTGATTCCAATAGCAAGTAATAAAACAAAACATGAATTTCGAAGATTAGCTTCCACCTCAAATTTATCATTTTGCCGCTGTGCTTAGTTTGACCTATCTTTGCCGTTTCATAATCCAACGTCCCGAGCAAATCTCCCAATGTGTTTTTGTAGCGCCGTATTTGTCGACGATGAACAACAACAGAAACAACAACACGTACATAGTTTAGTATAAAGATTCAACTTTAAACGCATGCGTTGTTCTTGCCTTATGTAAGCATTCGGGCTTACAGTCACAGCACACGGTAAGATCTTTTTCATCCGTAAAATAAATCTTTAAAAACATTGCATATTTGTCTTTTAGGCCATGAACGATGGAAATTTTTTTGTAATTAGAGAGCACACAAGACAAACATACTTACGCCACTTGTAATGAGAATGACATTTTGCTATGCACGTAACTCTCGTGTTCTCCAGGCTTTACACATGTAATAACTCGGAAATTGATGCATTTTATCAGAACTTTCCTTGCAATAGTAACTTCTAGTTTAAGCCTTATTTTGACTCATTCTCTCTATAAGAGCATTACAAAAATTAAATATAATCTTTAAACCTTGTCTTCGCTCCTTTTTAATGAACGGTCCAGAATAATGAAAAACCATAAATTTAAATGATTATTTATTAAATATTTTTCTAATAAACTGTTAAAGGCTGCCATTCAGTCTTAAAATATGTATTAGAAACAGTAAAAAAACACGTACGAAGCGTAAAATTGTGATTTACAAAACTATAGAGGGATTACATAATTTATTTTGTCCTCGATATCCTTGTATCCAAACTCATTATTCTTTTTTAACGACTGATAATTATCTTCGTTATTCATTTTTGATAAATCCAATTCCTGATACATTGTATCAACAGGATTTACTCTGGCTTCAAAAGAAGACTGAAATTGCTGAAGTTGCTTTCTTAAGAAACTTTCACGATATCGTAGAAAAATTATATAAGAGAGTAGAATTGCAGTGATGATTCCAGATATCAAAGTCACTACAATGAAATGCCATTTTCTTAATTTGGACTGAGTGCATATCTCTTTTTTGCAATTGCAATGGACGTTGTCTCGAGTTGGGGTACGAATTTCTGTAAAAAATATGTATAACTGCTGCTAATATGCAACTTAAAAATACCTGACAAAAGGTTGATAAGCTATTCTTTGAAATTTACTTTGTTGTTCATTGAACAATATTTTCATTACAGCTGAAATCATCGGAATATAGTTTTAAAATCATTGCGAATTTGCGAAAGTCGTAAAATGAATTATGAATTCCTAAGAAACTTATCTAGTTCTTCATTTAAAAGAAAATTTCTCGTACAGTAACTAAACAATTGCAACAAAAACGAGTAGCACGAAGCTCCTAATTTTTCAGTTTATTAAAATGGTTGTTATTTATTTTTTACGAAAACAAAACTTTTTCTTAGAACTAACTTTTTGATTATTAATCTTAGTCTCTTTCGTAAATATGAGTTTATAGAAAAATATCATAGGACAGCTGGTTTTTTTTAGTTCAATAAATTTGAATTTGTTGGGGACTATTCAATATAGTTACAATTAGACACGACCCTAAAAGGCTTTCACGTGCAACGAAATGATAACAAATATTTAACCATAAAGAATGCCTCGTGAAAATACACATTGGTTAATTTCTGTATGATAAGAAATTTATGATGTGGATAGCACAGAAAAGCGATCTTCAATGTACAAAAAGGCAATCCCTGATAAGGAATTTACAGTTATAAGAAATGTAAACTTAATACGAAATTGTGGTGAAGTAAAAAGTTCTTACCTTTAAGATGTATTTTTGTTGATGTAATGCTACCAAATACATTTGTTGCCTTGCAAGTGTAGACAGCAATATTACTTGAGGTGACTTTATCTATAACATGTGTTGATCCATTTACAACTCTTATTGAACCATTTAGAAATATTTCAAACTTTGGTTGCGGATTTCCTTCAGCAGTGCAGCTCAATGTTGTTTTAAGATCTTCTCTTTCAAGAGTCATTTCTATGTTAACAGGTTGGTCTAAAGGAAAATATATGTGGGCATATCAAGTAATAAACATTTTCATTGCTTTCAGTATTTCCAAATACGATAACTAATGTCATGCAATAACACAAACTTTCAGTTAATATTTAATCAAGCCATTTCGTCATCTTTAGCATTTTCACGAAAAAATTCTGACACTGCAAAAATTTTTTGCACGACAGTCACGACACAAATCCCACAGAGACATTGTAAATATTTAAACTCTCAGTACATCAAAATATTTCCGATCAATATAACAGTTAAACTAATAAAAAATACAACGATATCAAGACCAATAAAGGCTACGCTTATCTTTCTTATGAAGGACGTGTTCGGCACTGTAAAACGTCGTATTGTTGTGATATAGTGTACTTAATACGAGCTGCTTGTAATAGCTAAGTTCATTTATATTTTTTGAAAGATAAAAGCCATTTGACAAGATTGAAATAAATACATAGTGTCGTATAGTTGTATGAAATTCATTTTTAGCTTCATTTAAGATCAATGTTCTCATATCGTTAATATGGCTTAAATATGTCATTGAGAAGCCTTGAAGTGAATGCTTTGAACCCAGGAGTATCATTACATTGTGAAAGTAACTACAGAAAGGGGCTGTTTTAAAGCAAATGTGCATGTAGATGTTGTGAATGAATCCTTAGTAAAGTGCCTTTAATTTTAAAGATAAGTTTACCACTTTTGTTTTAGTATACCAAATTTCTAGCGTAAGTCGTTGTCTGTAATCGCTGCCCACGTAATTCATTTGGCAAAGTGACAGTCAATATTATGTTGCATAAAGGAATTTGTTCTCAGTTTATTCTCGCCCCTTTTCGTGCTTTCAACATTTAGAGCATTGAAGTGAAATTTTTAGTTCTTATCATCTTGGCTAGTCACTTTAACTGTTAACATTAGTTTTTCCTTTTGGGAAAGAAGAAATATGTTAAATTACAAATTGCCAAAACTCTGGAGATATTACTACTATACTGTGCTTTCATAGGATAACGCAATAAAAATGTTTGCTATCATACATAAAGCATTTCGAATTTTAATACTTACATTTTATCTTACTTTGTTCACCCTGACATATAAAATTGAAATATTTATTGCATGAAATGTCATTCCATTTGTCCGTATTCTGCCCATAATGTGCACAATCCTCTACACCACGAAAGTTATCCGGTTGCAAAGGTAGCCAATTGACGAATTTAGGTTTAATATTTTGCACAGTGTAAAATTCCTCATCACTTTCATTGCGAAATAAACCAATAAAAGGTTTGTTGAGACAGTTTCTTTTCAAAAATTTGAAAATTGCCTTATTTTCAGCATTATTTTTTGGAACAGCAAGATCTCCCCCTTTTTGTTGACAATTTCTTCTAGCTTCATGCCATGTTGTTTGGTTCTTACTGAAGTAGTAGCAAGAGGACTCCAGTTTAATCCAGTCAGAGGGACAGCTACTTTCTTTAATAACTAAGAAAATTGAATAAATAAAATGATACATAGCTAGAATTTCGATGATGTATAGATTCAAATAAACGTTTTTTTAAAAATACTATCAACCAGCAGCTTGTATACATAACATAACAATCAATAAAGGAAGCTGAACAACTAATAAGTTTGAAGTGCCTTTAAAAAAAAATTTTGCTAATTGAAGTATACTTTCATTAAACAGAACTTTTATATTTTTAAACAGTTTATAAATGTTTTTTTTATTCGTAAGATCTTGAAAGTTTCGCAATTCTCAGTTTACACAATTAGAAATGTTACATAATAAGATATTGAATCATCAGGTATATTTGTTGATATGTAACTTTAAACTGGTAGAGTTATTTTCGGTAGGAATTCTTCGTAGTAGCTATAAAATTTCTTCAAAGCTGCATTTTATTCAAAAAACGGACAAAAAATAAGAGTCTATGAAATTTTGACGGCAATCTTTATGCAATATGACGTTGAATAATTTCGATAATACAAGATTTTAACTTCCTCGAGAAAAAAAGATATGAATAAACTGTTTTGAATAATACGGAAGTGTCAAGTTCACAAGCTATAAATTATCAATCTTACAGTGAAATAAGTGATGTTCGTACTCAATGAGATTCATTCTCAGAATTAAGAGGTATTTTTGATGATATAATGCTACCAAGGACATTGGTTGCTTTGCAAGTGTAAAAACCCGCATTTTTCGAGGTGATTTTACCTATTGCTAGAGTTGATCCATTAAAAACACTAACTGAATCATTAAGAAATATTTCAAAATTTGGTTGTGGATTTCCCTCAGCAGTGTATCTTAAAGTTGTTTTGACATCTTCCCTTTAAAGTGCAATTTTTATGTTGGCAGGTTGGTCTAAGGAAAGCACGTGTAAGCATTATTATCACATGAAATCTAATTCCTTTAGTATTTCCTTATTTTCTCTCGAGAAATAATAAAATAAGGAAGAACTATATTCAAGGCATATAAAAATAACTAAAATTGCAGGAAAATTGAAAGAAGCAGGTTGCTGTGTCTTATATATGAGTTAATTAGAGAAGAAAATTATGAAGAAGGTAGAGCAAGAGCGGAGAAAAAATAAGAGCATGAAAGAAATTAATGGATGGGACAAGGGAAGATATGAGGTGTAAGAGAATAGTAAAAAAGAATAAGTGAAACAGAGAGCATATTGCAAGAAAAAATGTGTTGTGGCGACCCCAAAAAAGAGCAGCTGTTTACACAAAATTAATGTTAACCATTAAAAAGTTTAGCCAATTATGTAGCAAACCCAACACTGGCATATCGGTAATTCTCTATACATGTCATGTAGTCACTTTTTGAATGTTTTGGTATATAATTACATTTCCTATTGCTGTATAAAGCGCATTTGCCTTGCTGAAAGGTTTGAGCCCCTCAAAAATCAGAAAACCCAAGAGTAAACCGAGAAAAATTTAAAGTAAAACGAAAAATAGACAAACTTTCTGAAGAGTTGTTTCAGAATTAGTGCATAAACCCAAAATTTCTGGAAACAGCTGTCTCAGATGGCACACAGCTTATCAGTTGTCAACATCTGCTATCTGTTAAATGTGAATCAACATGAATTTATATTAGTTGATTTAATGTTGACTCATCCAGTGCTGGAGGATGAGTCATAATCAAAACAAAGCCAGTTTGTAAATGAGCTTCTTTTGTCTACAAAAGACCAACTTATTAACCTTGATGTATAGCACTTACATTGTTTTTAGAGAAGGAACTGACGTAAACTTGTGCATGATACGGATTTTAGCAATGTGTATTTGCGTCAGCACATCGTTTATTTGAAAGAAATACAAGAAACTGTCAAACTTAATTGCGTTATGTTGCTGACACTCCCACTAGTTAATTCTAAAATGACAATGTCTTGTAAAAAAATAGTGAATAGTGCTAGAAATATGTTGTTCGATTCTCCACAAAATAATGTATATTCATTCATTAGAGTAAATTTCGTAATTTGTAAATTTCTTTAAACAAAAATTTGCATTGATGTAAAGTCATGTTTATATGATTAAAGAGGAAGTGTTCGGTCTTTTGAAATCAATTCTGGGAATCAAGGAATGTTCCAGTACTTATTTCTTTGTTGCCTTTTCGCGTAATAAACATTAAAAAAATTTAATGAACAGAATAAAATGCTTTTTCATTTACCCAGCGTTGCATGTATTTGTACAATTATACATATTTTGCTTGTAAAAGTGTATTTTTAAAGAAGAATATTTGTTATATTCGTTATAATGGACAAGTGTGGCACTAAACACCATATTATTCTAAATAGTGTGCTTGACACGCGTCGCCTGTTATGAATGACTTGATTGAATATTATCATATACTGTCTTCTTGGTTTATTAGATAAACCTTTATATGTATAAAGTATTTATCACTATCGAATTATAGTCAGTTTGCAGCAGCAATCTTTAGTCGTTAATATTTCATTAATATGTTATAATGAAATCTTAAAGCGAATGGTTTGAACCAGGAAGTATTTAGTGGTTATATGTTCGTAGATCATCGTCGTAATGCAGTCCTGAGAAGTACTCTTGATGTTTGGAATGACTGAGTTTTCGGCAGTCATAACTATAATTATTTTTTAGTGAAGATTAAATGTCAGGTATCTATTAAGAGTATTTATATTCCAGTTAGACGTCACGATGTTGTATTTAAAAGAAATGAGTGGGTGATGTGCGTAAAATTTATGTAAAGTGTTGGTAATTGTATAGATGTGTTTAATGCAGAGGTACTGTTCTAGGTTGGTATACGGAATTCTAATGGGATTCATTTACTGTAGGATGCAATACGTAATGCCTTTTGCCAAGTCCCTGTCAATGTTATGTTTCGTACAATGTGGCTAGTGTTGTCTTATTTATTTGTAGCTGGATACAGTTCGGTGAGTTGTATGTCTCCGCCCGCCTTGACCATGTAAAGGGCCGAGCAGTCGAAGTATTTTTTTATAAACTGCACCTTCTTGTTGATCTTGTAGTTCTCTGTCCTTCAATTTTAATAGTGTATAACGTAAAGCTGTAAACAATTGATTTGCAAGACGTATGTTGCATTGTCGTAGTATTGTCTTGGTAATATAGTCTTATGTTAGCAAAGACATCTCTTTGATGAAAGGTATCATTGCTGTTGTGGTCATGAATGGGTTTGTTTAATTAGCTAAACTAAATCAAAAAATTTACAAGCAAGGCAACATTATGTTTGGGTATGCCACCAATACAAATTTTAGCATCTTCTGCTATTTGTGCATTGATTTTCAAATTTTTGTCTTTTAAATCATGCTTTCATAAGTGCTTCAAATTTTAAACAATAATTTTTTCGATAGAGGAAGATCGAAGCATCATTGTAATGCATCATTGTAATAAACTTTTAAACGTATTTATCCTGTGAAATGCGCTTTCGTAAGATGACATTATAAGAAAGTTAGACAATACACATAAATCAACAATAATTTCAATACTTACACTTTACTTTATTTCGTTCACCTTGACAAATGAAATGGTACGAATTATTACACGAAATGTCACTCCACCAGCCTGCTTGAGGAAAATAATGTACGCAATCTTCTACACCGCGGTAGTCGTCGGGTCGATTATCAGGCCAATTTGTGAAATTAGATTTGACATTTTGAACAGGGTAAAATTTATTATCACTTTTATTGCGAAACAAACCAATATATGGGTGATAGAGCCTCTTTTTGGTGACAGCCATAAAAATGGCTTCATTTTCAACACTATTCTTGGGAACAACAAGATCTGCTCCTTTCTGTTGACAAATTCTTCTAGCTTCATGCCATGTTGTTTGTTTCTTACTGAAGTGGTAGCAAGATGACTCCAGTTCCATCCAGTCAGAGGGACAGCTACTTGCTTTACTAACTAAGACGAATGAAAAATTCAATTACATCAATTACAAGGAATTTTTAATATAAACGTAATTATATTAGCAAATGCAATAAACATTCCATATAACTAGAACCTTGTAAATATAACACGACAATCATCCAAACAATTATTATTTTAAACATTTTCATACAGTTAAGATCTTTCTTGAGGGAGTACACCTTCAGACTAGTTAAAACTCACTCTTCACGATGATTTTATCGTGTCAGTAATTTACAAACACACCCATTTTGAATATGACAAGAAAGCGCACCAGGAGGTGTTCACAATAAGTGATTACGCACCTTATTATTGTTGATTTTAATTTTTGACAATGCATGCGACGCTATTTTTGACAAGACATGCGACGCCTGCAAGGGGCGTTGTAGCACATCTACAACAATTGCGGAACGATTAAAAACAATTTAGCTGCAATTTCATATGATTTTATGTGATTTTACAATTATGTAAAATGCTAGGCATTCTTGAACGATAATCCTTCATAGTTTTGATTAAATTTTGTATATTACAGTTTTGATCTTAAGAATACCATTCTGAATTTCTTTGTGGAACTTATTGTTTGATCATGTGTAATGCCAATACAGTATCTATTTTGAGCTATATTTTCTCGTATTTTCAAATTTAAAATAAAACAAATTCATATCATGACGAATCTGTTTCTTCATTTCCCAGATAAACCTATTTCAAACGTTCACATTTACATTAAACGAGCGCATTAAAAACAAAAGGATCATAAGGAAATTCATATCATTTTCTTTTGTCTTTTTGTCTTTTTTATCGTACGGTGTATATAAAGTTCGACATTTCAAACAATCGTAAGAAACAAAAGTTTTGAGAAGGGTTGGTAAGATTTAGTTTTTATTCCAAAGACAACATTTGGCAAATTAAAGAAATCAAATCAGAAACAAGTTTTGAAATATTTATATACATACTTGTTGAATAAGTCGATGTATTGAGAATACTTCAGAACGATTTATTTTGCTTAACAAAGAAACACGAGTTTTACAAGATAGCTCTACACATTAGCTCTACGATATAAATATATATAATATATATACGTACAATGAGCGTTTTTGTTCATATTACCATATTTGGTATATGGTCAGCGATGACTAATTTATTTAACAAGAATGTTATTTTAAATAAACACAAACAGTACTTACAACGGAAGCGGAAAGTAATAGTTACTTATTTAAAGAAGCAGTAAATCTTAACACTTACGGATGATTTATATTTAGAAAACTGATAATTTATTACGATAAGATCCACGACTTCTGTTGAGTTTAGGCGTATTTATTTAATTAAAAGTGCTTCTAAGAAGTTGCTTATGATTATTATTTTTAAAACAATATAAAATATATATGTTATTTACAGCCTGGGTGGTCCTTACGGAAAAATATATTTTCACGAGGCCGAGTACGAACCGACCTAAAATGTAAGTAACATATTTATTTTTTATTTTTAGTTTGAAGAAATTTGCGTTGTAAAATGGCCAATGTTGCTTAATATTTAGACTAAAATTGTATTGTTTTTTACAAACTCGTTTTAAAATTCTTATCGGCTATGTCAACACTCGACCGAATTCTTATCGAGAACAAATTACTGCTGAGTGTTGACATAGTCTCCTCTTTCTTTGTCGTCATCGTGTTCAGATTCGTCATTCTTTTTCAACGATTCATAATCATCCTCTTTGTTCATTTTTGAAATGTCCAGTCCTTGATACGTTATGTCAATTGTGTCATCCTTTGGCCTCAATGATTCATAATCATCTTCTTTATTCATTGATGATAAATCCAATCCATGATAAGATTTATCAGCAGAATTCATCTCTCTTCAGACGGTGACTGAGACTTTTTGTGACTTCTACTTAACAAACGTTGACGATATCGTAAAAATATAAAAAATGAGACCAGAGCTCCAATGATTATTCCAGATATCAAAGTTACAACGATGCTGTACCATTCCGTTTTGGCTTTCGTAATTCTCTCTTTTTCGCCATCAACTAGAAAAAGAAACTTGAAAGAATTAAATTGAAAAGTGGATTGATTCAGAATACATTTTCATTACAGCATAAATTCTCGGCCTAATTTCTTAATTCCTTGGCCTTTTTTCTTACATCCTCGGCCTTGTTTCATAAATACTTGGCTTAGTCTCTTAAATCTTCGACCTAGTTACTTCAATCTTCGGCATAGTCTCTTTAATCCTCGGTCTAGTTTCTAAAATCCTTGGTCTAGTTTCTAAAATCCTTGGTCTAGTTTTTATAACCATAGTAAATCAAAGTCATATCACTAAATAAAACAAAAATGGTGTTTTAAAAATAAAAACATGTATAACTGAGGAAGCCATCGCGTTCTTTTTGAAAAAATTGCAAAAGCAGACATTTGCAGTATAGCTACACAAATGTAACAGACTGGTAGTAGCTATTTCATTATATTAAAAACTAGATTTTTCTAGCGCACCAATGGTTAGAATAAAAAACAAGTTAAAAGAAACCAACCAATAATATCAAACATTTTAAAAATCAAACCTAGACTATTGGATGTTCTAACTGTATATGAATTCAGGAAAAGCAGATATAAGTGTAAATATCGTTCGTTTGCCATCTTTTAAGATGGCGGCTTGTCTCATTTGTAGCTAAGTATAGAATTTTGGCGGAGTCAGATATTTATGGTGAATACATGTTCAAAGAAAAATAAAAGCGTTGATTTTTAATTTATCTGTTTTGCAACATTGTTATTTTGTAAAAGAAACAAAAGATGTTTATCATGGAAACACTCGTGCTTGTCACGCAATTTTCGTTTCTTTCAATCTTTTCCTCGTGTTCTATAACTCTATAGAAACTAGAAAAATGTTTTTTATTTCTTAAATAAACATAAAATTTACATTGAGATAGTGCAATTTGTAAAATAAGCTATAAGAAGAAAAAACCGTGCTAAATTGACAAAACGGCAAACCTCAATGGCAAGTAGGTAATTGATGTTGAGCGTTTGACGTAAACAAACAACTAAAACTTTCTCTATTTTCTTAGTTTTTTCCTGAATGTTTCTAAGGTGTTCTACCAGCTCCGAATTATTTATCCTGCCATTTATTCTCACCTGTAAGACGTATTTTTGATGATGTCATGCTACCATAAATATTCGTTGCCTGGCAACTGTACAAACCAACATTGTTTGAATTGACTTTATCAATGACATGTGTTGATCCATTAGCAACTTTTATTGAACCATTAAGAAATATTTCAAACTTTGGTTGTGGATTTCCTTCAGCAGTGCAGCTCAATTTTGCTTTATCATCTACCCTTTCAAGAGTCATTTCTATGTTGACAGGTTCGTCTTAAAGAAAACATATATAAGCGGATGTTTATGAAATAAACATTTGCATGATTCACAATCAAATCAGGGAATGTCTATTCGTTTGAAATTATTTCCCGAAATCAAAGTGTGACGGCAAATCCTTATTTGTGCATTGTTTTTTTTTACATGATGAATATATAATACTATAGTTACAAAATAATTTCCTAGTTTCATACTAAATTCTAAGTATTTGTACACATGCATATTTTGCCTGTGAAAATGTTTTCAAAACTTCTATTTCAGTGCCTGCTGGAGATGGAAAAACTGCATGCAGGTTTCAGATAATGACTGAAGACGCGGACATTTAACACGTATAGACTTTGATAGTGTGCATGATACGATCGCTCGTGGTACAAAGTTGATTTGAGCAATAATTTTATATATTCATGATTATCGCTTGCCTTGACTCATGTAAGAAGACCATTCATGTTTAAAAGTACTACATTCGGTTCGCTGCTTTGTGATGTTTTTTTTTTTTATTTCATTAATATGACATTTAACTGGCTTTAAGAGCCTTAAAATGAGTGGTTTAAACCTGGGGGGGTATCGTTTAATGTTTGTCAATGAAGATCGTCCAAGCTTTGGTAAAATCCTGAAATAAATCTGTCAGAGTTAAAGAATGAGTATCAGGCAAAAGCCTTGCACGCTTAATATTTATGTTTCACACGGGAACTTCCGTGAACTTAAACAACCGATGCGTATTCAGCACACGTTTTGTTTCGTTTATTGACTTATGTGATCATATTTATTTATAGGAAGCATTTAGGGTTGATGGTTGATAGTTTGAATGTTGTTGCGATATTCACGCCGTATTTATATGCTGTACTTATGTACTTAAATCAAACATATTACAGCAGCCATTTTCGGGGTCCTTAAAATGGCCATCAAACCGAGCAAAGCATGACCCTGAACTCGTTCTTTAAAATTGACTGGCGTCTTAATATCCATAACGGGAGCTATTTTCAGAGTCAAGTGTATATTTTATGTTCATCTTATTTGTTGCCATTTTCTTGATATTCTATGAGGAATATGCAGTTGTGTGGGTGTATATTGTGTATTTTTGTCGTTGATTAGTGAGGAGATAATACCGAGATATGCATATGTTTAGTGTTTTGAATAAGACGTTTCTTAATTAAGTGCCGGTAGCTTGTCGCTGATGTAAGCAGGACATGCTTCCGAATCTAAATCAATGTTATATTTCGTCTGTCGGCGAGGTTTGAATATGTGGTTGATTTTATCCGTTCGTTTCTTTGTAACTTGTTAATGTTCAGTGAGTCGTTCAGGTTTAAATTCTTAGCTTCCACTTTCATCAATGTCTTGCTTATCAGTGGTACTCTGTTAATGTGCAACACGTATGTTGTATGGTCGTAAGATACGTGGGGCGATGCAATAAAGATCATTATTCCCACTCTAAATTTGTATTTAGCTATACCACTTATTACGTTTCTAGTGCTTTCAGCTTTTGGAACATTAAAGATTTCAGCTCTCTACGATTGCTGAAATCACGATTGCATAAATGCTTGAATTTTAAACATAAGCTTTTATGGTGAGGAAATCATAAAACACAAACCCTCTACAAATCTAATTATATTCTAACTGTTTAATGCTTTAAGAGCACAGCATTGAAATAAAGTTCAGTAAAATACCTATGAGGCATCAACCATTTCAATACTTACATTTGATCTTTCTTTGTTCACCTTGACAAATAAATTGGTAGAAATTACCGCATGAAATGTCATTCCACTCGCTTGTACTCATGTACCAATAATGCACACAATCCTCTACACCACGCTGTTATCAGGTTGTCAGGATGCCAATTTGTGAAATTAGGTTTGACGTTTTGGACTGTGTAAAATTCTTTATCCCTTTCATTGCGAAATAAACCAATATAAGGCCTATATATCCATTTTCTTTGTACAACATCGAAAATGGCTGTATTTTCAGCATCACTTTTTGGAACAGCGAGATCTCCACCTTTCAGTTGACAAATTCTTCTAGCTTCAAGCCAGTTTGTTACATTTGCACTGAAATAGTAGCAAGATGACTCTAGTTCTATCCAGTCAGATGGGCAGCGACTTCCTTTACAAACTAAGACAAATGAATAAATGAATTGTACATCAATAACAAGAAATTGTCGGTACAAACTTTATGACGAGTTCGATTGAAATAAACATTGTGCTAAAATCAATTAACACCTTGTAAATTGAACACAACAACTATCCAAAGAAATATTAATTTTAACATTTTTAAGCCACGAAGATCTTCGTTGATACGATTTCAAAGCTCTAACCAGACACCCACGCATTTCCTGTCCATGAGACAGGACGTAGGCAGCAGCCAGAAGACCCTAAATATAGCTCTAAAATGCTAAGCAAAATGGCAGGATTGCAAAATGGCTAAAAGAAGACTTCTCCTTTACAATACATATTTTGTGGTTTTAAAGAAAACAAAAGATTTTTAACATAAACGTGTTTCGACATGACATCAAGTCATCTTAAGTGCAGATGTGCATTCCCAAATTTTCGACATGGGGGTTCTCTGTCACAGTGACAAAACCAGCTCGATCTTTTACTCCTACCAGGCAAATTTTCTCATCGAGATTTTTATTTATTTGTTCGGAAAATTAATTTCATTCCCTACTGCTCCGTCATAAAATAGCAAAGTAAAAAATATAAGAAAATAGAAAAACAACTTTGAACGTCAAGAAAACATTGCACTGTTTGTATAAGCGGTTTAAATAAATTCGATATATTATTCATAGCAATTTCCAGTCAATGCCTGATGTCTACTTTTCCGTTTTTTATCCAAAAGGGCGACCATAGCAACAAGAGTTTTGTTTCTTCGAATCTTTGTCCGTTCATAGAAATTCGCTATTTGCAGCGTTTTATATCTCGGCACATGTTTTTTGAAGTCAGATTACTGACATTGACACCAGCAGACCATGTGCAGTCTTATTGCACCGGATACGCGAAAACAAGGTTCGGACTTATCCTTGTCTAAGCAAATCAGCTACATCAAAACACGAACTAACACTTTTATACGGTTATGAATGCTTTCGGTTACCTGATTATCTCTATCAAAATGATTATTGAAATGATTATCATTTGTCGTTAAAACACGTGAGAAATCCAGAAAAAGTTATTTTTTGTTATCTCGTTATTAAAACACGAGAGAGAGAGAGAGAGAGAGAGAGAGAGAGAGAGAGAGAGAGAGAGAGAGAGAGAGAGAGAGAGAGAGCACAATGAGCATTTTTGCAAGCTCCGGTCTGATTTCGGGTCCGAGCTCGAGTCTGAGTTCGAGTCCGAGCTCAAGTTTGATTTGGAGTACGAGTCCGAGATTAATTTCGTAACCTTGAATAATGTTTGAATGCAAACCTTAAAAGCAAGTTGAAGATTTAATTCATTTTATTGAAATGGACTGTAAACATATGGCGAATAAATAAACATGGTCGTGTGTACGCTCCAGGAAAGACATTATCTACCGATTTAAGGCTTTTAATAATCAAGAGTATTATTTGTACTAGAGAGGACCCCGTAACAGGAATATTCATTGGGCAATTTACCAAAATAGCGCGTTCCCTTAAAGTGTCATCTACAGTTGTGTACAAAATTTGGAAATGATATTGCCCAGAAAGACTGATAGTACACATCCACACAGTGGCTGCAACCCAAGCCATTTTTTAAGAGGGTGATCTTCAATGCATAGAAATTTTAAAACGACAGCGTAAAGTGAAATCTTATTACGTACAGTGAAATCATACAACGATAGTACGAATTTGGGGATTTGCCATATGGCACATCTTCCATGTCAGCATTATCTTAAGCCGTTCAACGCACACTTCCATTCAGGAAATAAAGCTTTAGACAATTAAACCTTTTAGCAAAATTTTCATTGATTTATTGAACAGCAAGGACCCTTACACATTAAAATTTTTTAACAAATGAGGTCTAAAACTTCCACAACACGCAGCACAAAAGTATTGACTTGCTCCCATAGATGAAAGAGCTGTCGAATTCAAGAGGTATGCTGAATCCCCTACTTTTAACACAACTGTTAACCTAATGTGCTCCTTAGCTGGAGTTGACTATGCGAACACAGTAGACGGTAGCGCAAACACGTTTGATTTCTTCCTTTTTTCGAGGAGACATATCACTCCATATATGTTCAAACTAGACAACGACTGTTAGAGCCTGGCTCAGTGATTGTTATGGAGAATTGTAGAACCCACCACCACAAAGGAGGCAAGGTATTGCAAGAATTCTTTAATGATCTTGACATTCATTTGGTATTTATGCCAGCATATTCATCCGATTTTAAACCCGTGCAATATGTTTTTAGGAAAATGCGCTCTTTATAATGAACCATAAATTCAGTGACATTAGTAATTTAACATTAGTAGAATGTACTTATTACCTCGTTTGATTGCATAACACCACATGACATGCGAGGATATTACGAATATATTTATATTTTATTTACCGGCTTGGAGGTCCGTACGAAAAAATATTTTCGTGAGGTCTCAAAAGAGGCCCAAGGCCGAAAGCCGAGGGTACGGTAAGTAACATATTTGTTTTTATTATGAAGAAATTCGCGTCATAAAATAGTCGATGGCCCGATGCAACTTAATGTTTACACTAAAATTGGATTGTTTTCTACAAACTTCGCTTCGTCTGAATAGTAAAATTCATTCTAGCTATAATAACTGTCATTTGAATACACTTTACTTTCTTGTAGAACAATTTACATCGCTTTTAAAGCATATTTGAAAATTTACAATTCACTTTGTAAACAAATACATTGCGAAAAAAATATGTTGAGCCTACTATTGGATTGTTTTCTTCAAACTTCGCTTCTTCTGGAAAGTTATATTCACTCGTGCAAGATAACTCTTATCTGAATACACTTTGGTCCCTAGTTTGCTGCCTAGTTCGTTCACCAGTTTGCATCGCTTTTAAATCAATTGCTATTGCAGTGTTGCCACGTGAAATTTTAAAATATTCGTGCTGGCTTGCGTCAAAAGTTCACAAAAATGGCAAAAAGTTCATATCACATCTAATTTTTAAGATCGGAAATTAACGGATTAACTCGGAAATATTCGGAAACTCACGGAAGTATTCGGAGAGCATCGGATTATCTTAAAATTGTCGTTGTTTTAAAAGAACTGTCGAGCTATGAAGATTTTCTTTTCATTGAACTATGATTTATCTATAAATTCCCTATGAAAATGATGAAAATACAAAAATGCGTAATATTTAGAAAAGTTCACAAAAAGTTCACAAACTTTTAATGCTCATGAAATGTTCATGAAGAGAGCAAAAAGTTCACAAATCTATGAACTTTGTTCACGATCTGGTAACACAATACTATCGTTTAAATGGTTCGTTTAAATTTTTGTCTTAATGTGATGGATTGACCGATTTCGACTGATAGCCAACTGAACAAACATAGTCAAGCTCACTGTCTGAATTGAATGTTCGATTGTTTCATAGTAATTTTCTAACGCGTGATAGAAACTAAACTACAATCACATGGAATTTTTAGAAATCTTTTACAAATTCATATATTGACATGAACGCTGCTGTTATATGAAAAGATATTTATCATAACCAGTAAGCATGACACATGTATTATTTTGTGTTCTGTTGGGTGATTGTTGTTGAAATCGAGTATTTGGTCTGTGTGGGTAGTTTTGCGGTATACTTGTGTGTTAAGTGTATAAATATATCATATTATAATTTCATATTTTTATATTTTAACTTTAAAATGCATTTTGCAATGTCATTACAATTTGGACATAATCTAGAAGCTTGCTTGCATGCGCTAGAACCTTGCTTACATGCGTAAACATATTTTAGAACCGCAACCGCATTTGCTGTTATTGTGGTTAACTATATCTTGCTGTAACATACTGTATTGCGTATGGGATGTAGGTCACAAAACCACAATACTTCCCATTAGATATTATATATATGAATAGTTTAGACCACTGAGTATAACCTACGAGGATAACCTACGAGCACAAGATACGAGGAGATAAACTTAGGAGGCATAGCCTACCGAAGTAGGTGGACAAGCTACATTCTACCAGACAACTATCTTGGCTTCTGCGCCATAACTATCTTTTGGCTTCTGTGCCTTTAATCTATTTGGAAAACTATTGTGAGTAATTGTTGGACTCACGAACGCTCAAGAATAAAGACTCGCCTTTGTACTCAGATAGAGGAGATAAGTTTTACTCATACTTATTGATATTATTATTAAGACACTTATCCACTTTAATAAATTGTTTGAGAAATATAACTGGTTCACACTATCTTTGTTGCGTGTGGAAATAAAACCAAAAATTAATAGTTATTCCTTCGGGACCACGCACGTAACATGCTCTTTGTCTTTAGTGAAGGTTATGTTCTTTGTGGTATTTTTTATGGTGTGTAGGCTTTGTTCAATTTTGTCTTTCTTGGCTATGGCAAAGATGTCGTCGGCATATCTTTTCAATAGTCTGATGTTTGTGTTGTTTGTGACTGATTTTGTTTCGAGGTGTTGCATGACGGCTTTTGATTGGAAGGTGGATAGTGGTGATCCCATTGGTGTGCCTGAAATTTGTCTGTAGTATGTGTTTTGGAAGGTGAATTCAGTGAAGAGGCAAAGGTCAAGTAAGTCCAGGATGTCATTTTTGTCTAGTTGTGTAGCTTTCCAAGTTTATTAGTAGTTCGTTCGTAATTTGTTTGGCGATGTCTAGTGGTATGGATGTGAAGAGTGATGTCACGTCGTAGGATATCATGATTTCGTCTGGTCGTGGTTTAATGTTTTCAATGTTGACGAGGAAGATGGTGGTATTTTTGATGTTGTGAGGTGAATTTTTGACTAATGGATAGAGAACGGTACAAAGATATTTTGAAAGTTCATACGTAGGAGATTCTGGAAGCGATACGATAGATTTTTGAAGAAAATAGATGATTGCTCTTAGAGATTATTCAGGTTAAAGAAACAACTGACTTTTACACTAAAAAGAAATAAAATATTACTCGCATGAATAAGTTGAAAAGTATCATTAAAAGGCGGCTTGGATTTGCAGCTGTCATTTGCAATACAAATGCAACTGCCATTTCAGCTGCATCATCAGTTTGTCCAATAAATGATTTAAGGTTTACAAATTTAATTAATTCACCTTTGCCAATGTTGATATAGCAGCTGCAGTTCTATTACAAGTAACATATACAAATCCAAGCTGCATTTCAATTATGTACTTCACTTTTTATTCATGCAAGCAATCATACTTAAATGCTCTTTGTTAGAAACATCAGTTGTCTTATCAACTTGAATACATACAAAAGTGAATTATCCAACACATTTAAAATTAGATTATGTTGTCAAGGCAACCAATTAGCTCCTTTTACATATCTCGAGTTTGCTCATGTTGTTCATTGTGCTGCCATAGCCTTAGTCTTGTATTGTGGCAAACTGCAACCTCAATTTTACTTGTGAATATTTTCTTTGTGAGTGTTTGTGCTTTCCACTTTTATAGAAACAATACTACAAAGAAAAGGCTTTTCTTACTTCCCACATAATTAGTTGAGTTTTCTTATCCTGGTGATACAAGATGGTATTACAAAGCTCTTATAATAATGCTGCAAGTTAAATGTCAGAAAGATTCATGGTTTTTTTATTCATTTCATTATCTAAAAGTACTAATTAATCTAACTTCTGTTCAGACAAACTTTCTTTTATTCATTTTTCATATTATCGCTCGTTTGTCTTCCCCATAATAAAAGTTGCATTAGTTTGTATTGTCTTCATGCAGTTAAACATAACATAGATAATTGTTTGTAATCTTAAAGAGCGAGAGTGAATTACTTCGTGTAGTACTAAATAAAGTAAACGTAGATATTGAATATTGTTTTTAAAAACATTTTTTCAACTGGTTGGGTAAATGCTATCTTGTTTTGAGGGTCGTAGATGGTCTAAATTTCAAAATTTTCTTGCTAGGCGCTAACCATGGTGGCGCCTTGTGAGGTTTCAAGAGGGCATGACCAAACATTTTTTGCTGGCTACGCCACTGTGGAGTTGCTTCCCTTCTGGAAATGAATGCGTTAATCCCATTCTTTGTCGCTTTTTCAAAACATGAGCAACTACTACGTAAAGTGAAAATCTTTGGTAGTCCATGAAACATTTTTACATTTAAAACTTTTGAGTAAATGGGGAAAATATATGTAAACATGAAAGCATATTATTATAGCATAACAGAAATCAACACATGTATTAGTAATTATTTTATGACGAAAAATATAGATTAGCTTGACATAAAATTGTTAACTTGTTATATTCTATGTCGTCACGTTTAAGTTTAAATCTGTAGAGGGTGGTAATATTAAGGGTATGATATGGTCGAAAACGATATTTTGAAAATGTAGTATAATGCTGATATTTTATATACATTAATAGGAGAATCTGAAATCGAACAGCCTTGTTTTAATGCTTGTTGATTTTGCTTCCAGAAGAATATATTTAGTTTATGCTTCTCGTCATTAAAAGAATTTTTTACTGCCAAAAAACAAACACGAATTGTTTTGCCGTAACCTTGGTTCTCATTAAATCGCTTGAGTCGACCGACTCGTTCCGAGTCGTTTCCTTGTTTTTCAAACGACTGGGACGACTCAAGCGATGTAATTCTCATATACTCGTACTAGCGCTGCCGAGAGACTGCTTAATTATTTTTTTCGCGAAACATTTAGAAATGGCAGCTGCTGTTTATCAAAGACAAAGTCTTTTGGCTTTTTATTTTCTTCTTCAAATCGTTTTGCGCCATAAAAAGTCGCTTGCATTTCTTAACGTTCGTTTCGGTCGTCCGGATAGAGCAAAGTTCTATCCAAAGTGCAAAGCTCAGTCGTGTGAGTCATTTGACGTCATCCCAGTAACCTCTGGTATGTTTTCATATAGCCGCACGGGTTTGGCACGGGTTTTGCACCACTGAAACATATAGTATGTTAAAGTTAAAGGCCGAGAAGCTGGGCTGTTTATAACATACAGAAAAAGAACAAAAATGCCAAGAAAGAGAAATTCATACGTCATTAAACTTCACATAATATACATCTTGCCAAATTATATCCATTCACGCAGTCATATGGCTATCAAATTACTAAAGCAAAAGTATTTTGCAAAACTACAATTATTTCATCACACATCAACATTCACATGCCTGTCATGCTTGACATGATGATTATGCATATGGTCTTACAGAGAGCACATCACTATAGGGCATAATAGCTTTTAGGAAGAAGAAGAAAGAAAAGGACAGCAATAAAACAATAGCCAGGTATAATTTTACTCATTACATATAAACATCATTAGTATAGGCAATTTTGATTATTCCAATTACTAGAGACAGGGGCGTATCTAGGTAAGTCAAATCCGTCGCGCGACTGATGTTTGAATTCAAAAATTCAAAAATTACCTATTCATATTATTTAAAAATTCATTAATTATTCTTACTTTATTATCGCATTTACTTCGTGATAAAAACCAGCTTCATTTATTATTGAAAACTAATGACTAATCCAATGAATATCTCGTTGGTAACCAGATCAGTTGAATTTTAATTGATCTGGAATAACCGACTGATAAGCGGGGTGGCTTGACTGGTTCGACTGATAAAGGAATCTATGAACGCCAAAACCGCTTATTTTATTGGTCAATGGCCAGATCAGTGGACAGCCTAGAATGGTCTCGACTGATAAGAGGGGTGACCGGACGTATAAGGGAGTCCAATTGCTATTTCACATTTGGTTCATTTGAATTTTTGTTTTATTGTGATTGGGTTGACCGAATTTAACTGATAGCCAACTGAATTAAAATAGTCAAGCTCACTGTCTGAATTGAATGTTTGATCATTTCATAGTAACTTTTATAAGCATGATAGAAACTAAACCTGAAAGATAAACCTGAGTATTCCACATACATGAAATGTTGTCCCATGTCACATATTGTCCCCTTTTTTAACTGAACACCTCATGTAGAGATGTAAAGGTGTGTTAATCTACAGCTCATATCAGATTGTTTGCCATAAATTCCAAAGGGCTATTGATGTATGAAAACCATTTTCTATAAAATAAAAATGTCTTTCTATGTATGCAGATAAACCTTGAAATTTGGCAAAACAGCAAAGTATTTTTCATGATCACTAGGTAATTTTTCTGATGATGATTATAATTTCTAAACTAAATTATTTCAGATTTACATTTAAACGAGCTTTGATCATATGAAAAGATATCATAACCAGGAAGCATGACACATGAACCAATTTTAACATTCATGTAATTATATAATTACATGTTGGTTACATTCTGTTTGTATTTGCAAATACAATGCTACTAGTGATTGCTACAGTGGCGTGCGGTCATGCAAGCGTAGGCAAGCGCCGCTTGCCTAAGCATTTTACCGAACAAAAATTTTTTGGAGCAATCTCTGAGCAAAATCAGTTTAAATTTTTCTGTTCTAAACAATGTCAATGTAATCTTTTGTCTAAATTGTCTTTACAGTTGAAATATTTGCTATTTATACGCGATTTACTGTCGTGGTTTTCGGTTTCACTTTGCTACACTTGTAAGATGAGTCAAGTGGATTAAATACACCTTAAAAATTTCTTATTTATTAACCAAGGCTAGCGCGCTTGCCTTCGGAGCTCAATTTGAACATTTGCGCATGCGTTAATCTAGATTTGGAGGCTTCTTATTCGAGGAATATCGAGAAAAGGCAAGCGGCGCTTCTAAGGGCGCCGCTTGATAGCGATTGGTCAACAGTCTTATACGCTCGCAATTTTAAACACATATCAGCACACGAAGAATATTCGTATATTCAACACATTGGACATCCAAATTATTTACGCCGTTAATATTATCGTTTATTAAAAGATGACTGAGAGCGAAAGGTAATGTTCTGATTTCTAATTCAAAGTAGTAGGTGCTTTACTGGTTATTTTATTGTTTTCTGCGCACAATGTGCGTAAACAAGCAGGGGGCGCAGTCTGCAGAGATATCGAAATGCACGCAAACGTGTATTGTGGTAAAGTATGACTAGCATTACGACCAAAAACTATGCCCTTGTCAGTCTTGTGTCGTTGACTTCGTAAATTAATGACTAAAAATAAAAGGTACAAGATACTAAATAATAAGCCGAAACTTGTTTTTGATATGATGTAAAAAATAATCGAACTTGACTTGAAAGCCAGTTTTCCAGAGGTGTACCGATTGTGTCAGCTCATTCTTACAATGCTAAGTACGTCCTCCTCTGTAGAAAGATCATTTTCGGCTCTCAAGCGTATCAAAACGTATCTTCGCAGTACACAAGGGCAAGAGCGGCTTTCTACATTGGCTACAATTTCAATCGAGAAGGAGATGTTGGTAAGTTTGCAGGGGAAGCCATGATTCTATGAGGACGTTATAAAGGAGTTTTGCGCAAAGGAAAGACGGATGGAATTTACATTTAAGTAAATCTGTTGTAGGATTTTGGACTATTTCGTTCTGTTACTTCTTCACTACAATAGAAATGCACGCGTAGCCATTTACTTAAAACGACTTTATATCACAATACCACATGTAATACTTTTAAACCGTAATTGTGATATATACTCGATAAGAGTTTTTGAATTTTTTAGATTTTTTCAATACTGTTTCAGTCATGACAGATCCATTTTTTTCGACAAAGTACTCCCAGAAATCGCGGGAAATGCGCTCCAGTAGCCTTCAAAATCCAAAAATTTTCTGGGGGAGCATGCCCCCAGCAAGCCACGAACCTCACCCCCAGCGCTTGCCTATTAAATTCGGTCACCGCACGCCACTGGATTGCTATATAGCACACCTTGCAAATATTTACAGAAGATTATAGTCTAGTGAAATGCCTAATAAACATTTATGGCATTAAGCTGTCCTTAACTGTAAATTTTCACTATGATAGTTTTTGCTCAATCTTTGGCAGAAAAAAATCTTGAGTTTTTTCTCAGAAAGTGAATTTGCTTGCACTGATGTGGAGGTGGGTAAAGGGTTACAATAAAGTTGCATGGTTTGAAGTCTGATCTTTTCTATATCTATGAACTGTCACTTGTAGTACCAAATTTCTAACTTAACTCATTACAAAGAAGTTTGAATGGGTGTCTCTAAGGGGGTCTATGCCTGACAACTTGGTAGAAATTTTAAAGACTACATCTGTTTTTTGAATAGCATTATTGTAAAATAAATTTTACGTTCCTAGACATGCTAATGAGCCATATGTTTGGCATGATAATTTTTGGCAAAACATTCAAGTATTGTTCACTTCATTTTTTTTTGAAAAAACGTATGCAAAATGTGTTGTTTTTACGCAAAAACGATTCCCACAAAATATATTTTGTATTGCTCTAAAACGCTAAAAATGACATTTTCAAGGCTCTGAAATACAAAATTTCTCTGGGGAGAATGCCTCAGTTCCCCAGGTGCGGAGCGCCTCCGACGTTTTATGACTGATGTTTGAAAAATCCTAGATCCGCCCCTGACTAGAGAGTGTATTTAAAATATGTATAAATACATTTATGTTATTTACCGGTTGAGACTCAAAGGTCTCAAAAAATTCTTGCATGGTTTTTTTATTTGCTTTTTGGGTTTTACAAAACTTTTTCTAGTTGCTTGACATTCAATTCAGAAATTTCGTTTTATGGATGGGCAATGTAATATCATGTGAATGAGAAAATAAAATATTATTCTGATTTTAATTAGCGGCTATAAGTTTTTACAATAAAATACAAATTTCAACATTTCATTTTAGTCATGAAAGTATTCTACATTATTTTGATTCTTTTGATTCTTCATGAATCGATCGAAATAGAATCAAACGATCTATCAAAGCAAAGATTGATAAACTCAGTGTCAGAGAGGAAAGAAAAAGGGGTATGTAGCTCTTCATGCTATTTTATCAATTAATAGAAAATTGTAGGTGAGACAATACTGTAGAAAGCAAAGTCCCAACCACCGAGTAACATGAATCATTAGAAACTATAAAATAACATATGCGAAACGCGTGATCTGATTGATTGATGCCCGTGTTTTGGATCAGACCCAGTGATAACCTTGGTGATTTGAATAGCATTCGCAAGGCTGTTTGAACATTCCTAAAAACAAAGACGATCTTTTGCCAATATTAGGGAAACACCAGCCATAAAGGTGACTTTTTTGGAACCTTTTGCCTACCTGCAATATTTTCAAATGTTTGGAACAAGCAATCTAAAGATTTGAAACAGTTTAGTAAATGCTCTATACATTGACAACCAAAGGTTAATGTTGTTCTTTTTTTAAGTGGGCGCAAATATGAGAGCTAAATTCACCCAAGTGAACAAAGCCGTAATATTTGGTAAAAATAGGCACGCAATGCGTTTATGTGGGTAGCCGGTTATGTATATTATTACTAAATGAAGTAGATAATTTGAGCCTTTTTCAAATAAAAGAATATATTTAATATTATTTACGTCAAACTTGTTTGAGATTTGAAAATGTTCTTTAGTTATATGATCCATTAATTGTTTAATCAATTCTGCATTTTTCGAACGCTCTAGCTTAGATTGCATGTCACGTGACTGTGCTCAAGCCTCGCATTAAGGAAAATAACGTCATTTAGATTTCTCGCGAATGTTAAAAGTTTTTTTTACCTAAGAGCACTTTTGCTTTTGAAAAAAGACACTTTGCGTTTCAAAAAAGTTTTCTGACATGTATAAGATATCGTTCAGTAAGACATAAGTCCTTAGTATTTCTTATTCATAGTTTGACACGTATCGTATTTTACTTGACGTAAAATAACTAAAATTGTAAATCCATAGAAATAATATTTGTATTTTGTACAATATTCGAAAGAAAATTAAATTCACTCACTGTTAGCGTTTGACTTTACCAACTTTGTACAGTGAGTCTGCATGAGTAAAGCGAACTATGTATAAGCGATGTAAATAATATCGAATTGGACTATATAAATACCAGACAGTACATGTAAAAGTTGTTAATACCGGTCGCTGGAACGAGATACAATTGTTATTTGTGGTCGCTTGTGAGCAGGCATTTAAAAAATATCTTGACTTTATTTATTATGCTTTTATAAAGTTTTGTGAAGAAAAATTTTTCGTTTTTACATCCCATTATTCGAACTCATGTTTAGTTCCGCTTGAATAGATGACAACAGTAATATCGTACAACTATACAAGTCAATTTTTGGGCCGTGATGTTTATAGAAAATATTTCTGAAAATAACAATATTTTGCTTTCAGTGTTTGATTAAATTCAGAACAGAGTACTGTAAGTCTGTATGAGTAAAGCGAAAAATGTATAAGCAATGGAAATAAAACCGAATTGGACAATATACAAAACAATACATCTTACTAAGGCCCTGTTCACACGATACCGGATTCGTCTTGTACCGGATTCGCTGAGCAATCCGATACAAAAATGCACTCTGTTCACACGATGGAAGAGTGTAAAGTCCAAATACGACCGAAGATATGTTGCCATTACAATAATACTAGAAAGAAGCTTTTCACGTTGCGATAATACATTGTTAAAAGCTTAAACAGGCCATGTTGAAGTATATTATATTTGCTGGCGGATTATTAATTTAAAACACAGTTTGTATTGCTATGTTTGCTTTCATTTTTGAAAAATCGCACGGACTTCTTAGTTGCCAAAGTGCAACGTATCGGATTCGAGCGTTCACACGACAACGGAACGTATCGGATTCGTTTTTATACCACTTCCACAGCAGAGTCAAATCGCTCCGGAAAACGATATAAAGCGTATCGGATTTCAGTGGAGCCGTATGAACGCAAGGCCTATCCGCAACGAAAAGTAATCCGGAATCTAACCAATCCGGTATCGTGTGAACAGGGCCTAAGTACAAGTTGTTAGTTTTAATCGCTTGAACGAGATATAATTGATATTTGTGATCGCTTAATAGCCTGCATTTGAATAATATCTTCACTTTTATTTATTAGTTTTTAATGAAGTTTTGCGAAGAGTAAATTATTCGTTTGTACATTCCATAAATCGGAGCTCATGTTTATTTCCGCTTGAATAGATGACAAGGAATATCGTATAACTATACAATTCAATTTTTGGGCCGTGATGTTTTTAGTTAATATTTCTCAAAATAACGACGTTTTCTTAGAATTGTGCCACCGGCGATTCTGTGCTTACTGCAAATGACTTCTGTTTGATCTTTGTACGTGGCAAGACGCTTCACAGTTCACGCATAGGAAATGTGTTATTACATACTATATATTTATATGCTCTTGGATTCATTGTTATATGTCTTTATGTAAAATGAAAAACAACTTACGAAATTTTCCGTCAAAGTAACGAACGCACAAAACTGTATTATTCGCCATCGTTCGAAAATCCGACTATCACCGAGGATTACGACGGACAGACAGACAGACAGAAGGAAGGACACTTTTTCAGTGTAGCATAGTGGTTAGCCGCGCATGCGCAGCGACTACCTACAAAAACGAAGTGAAAACTATTAAACATAGAATTAAAAATAGGTCATTTACCAATCAGAACATGCATTTTTCTTATATTATTTGATGGAAAACAATACCATTATGACCATCAACATAGCCAGCCTACAATATTATTCCTACCATAAAAAAAAAGAAAGGTTACCATTACTCATTTTTTTGGTAGTCTGTTGTTCTTACTACAGCTAACAAAGAACTTTTAGCACAGTATTAATAAAGTTCTGCAATTACTAAGAAGAAACTTGAATTGTTAACCGACTGTTGATTGTGCTCCTTACAAATGACTAACTCTTCTTAGTGAAAAGATTGCTTCTTTACAGCCCTCGTTTGATATGAGTCATTCAGTCTCTTCGTAACTTCGTTCAATTAAGTGTTTGCATCATCATTGTGCTGGTTCTACTTATTTTCGTCTTCGTTTGAATGTATTTATGCCTTGGTTAAGACGGCTTAAAAACGTCTGCAGCTCTTCACAAATAGTCGATTTTAGCTGACAGGTTACAGATGTTTGACAAATTTAACACTTGCATATTCTCAGTCCTGATTACGAGATAATGTCATTCCACGTGAATAGAATGACTGAACAACATCGTAATGCACCTTATATTTGTTGCAATGACGTAAAACCGTATGATTAATTAATTCTGCCATCAGAAATCTGGCAAAATGAATTATACTGCTATTTTGAACCGGACAGTTAAAATTCATGTACTGTTCTAAGTGTATTCTTGCTAAAATTACGATTAAGTTGTTAAGTTAAAAAGATATTTTAAATGCTTGAATGCAAAAAGCCTATAATTTGTAATTTTAATGTACAAGCTGCCGCTTAATTAATGAGGACCAAACTCCATACGCACAGACATACAAAATTTTGTTCTTTTAACTTGTAGGTTTTGGTTGGTTTTCCACTCAAGTAAAATCTAAAGGCAACAATAGGATAGTAATGACTTCTTCCAAATAAAATTTAGATACCTCCATTTTGCATGCTTCACCTGATGAGAGCAACATGTACCATACATTTCCCCCCTTTATTGTGGAAAGATTGCGTGATTATAAAGGTAAACTTCCTTAATGGTACCAAAAATGGCTGAAATGGTTGCAATTTGTGCGTACAGTTAACAATTTCATTAACTTGAAGTGTTTTTTGATCTGCAGCATCAGTGTTCTTGGTTTTTTCTCTAAAATTTAGAGAAGATTTTCAATTGTGAATTCATTCAATATTGACAAAAATCCTTGTAAACCTTCATACATTGTGTGGGAATTTTCTTGCCAATATTTAAATTAATAGTATTATATACCAAACATCACCCAACATTTCAACAATGATGTTGCTCTCATCAGGAGAAGCATGCGAAACGGAAATATCTAAATTTAATCATGAAAAATTCGTGACTATCCTATTGCTCCTATTAGAAAACCAATCAAAACCTACAAAGCAAAAGAACAAAGTTTTTTTACCTGTGGGTATGGAGTATGGCCTGTTTCATTAAGCAGCAGTTCGTACATTAAAGTTACAAATTCTAAGTATCTTGCCTTGTAGCACTTGAAATAAATTTTCAACTTAACATCTTAAATTGCACAAGTGTACATTTAAAACTGTACATGAATTTTGACGGTCAGCTTTAAAATAGCAACATATTATATTCTGTCAAATTTTCTTATGGCACAATTTATTAGCCCTAACTTGCTTGATCAGAAAATTTATACAATTGGCGATAATAAATTTAATTAAAATATATAATAAAGATGGTTTCTTGCCTTGCTACGCAAGAAACTTCACGTTTAAATAAATTTAATACTGTCAAAGATAAAAGGATTTGCCTGATTGCAACAAACATGGGGCGTTTAAAACACTTTTATGTTCTCTTGAAGAGTAAAGCCTGAGATGCTTTGTGATTTTTGCCGAGACCTGACTGAGACATGCCTGCGATGCTTTTCAATGACATAAATCAAATGGCCGATAGACCACAAAATTCAGCGGCAGTTTGAATTTGACAAAGTAGTGCTTCGTAATTTGAAAATAGCGTTACAATTAGCAAATTATGCGGCCTTTTAACAGTCATTTCAAAATACATCAATGATGGGAAAGCAAGTTTGATAAAAAGAGAATAATTTGGATTTTACTCTTTGAATTTGATTTTTGTACTCTAGACACGATTTATCATAAATAGCCCGATAGTTGCGTATTGTATCTATAAGTTTTTATTTTTATCGTAAAGTGATCGGAATTATTCCATTGAGTCTTTTTGATTCCATGTCCTGCGTTGAAAATTCATCCGCCATCTTTTTTCCCAAATGAGTGACGGAAACTCAACTCAACTCTTACGGCATTTCGGCGGTATACCGCAGGTAACTTCTACAACTGCCTGAAACACCAATACTGTGTCTGCGATGAATGTTCGCATTTGCCTTAAGTGCAACGAAGGCATCGTCACAGGTATGCCTCAGTCAAGTCTCAGTCATATGTGAACTAGGTCAATGGCAAGGAGCCCAATCAATGGTCGGTTGACAATTCAAGTCTTCTCTTCGTCAAGGCAGAACCTTAGTCATAAAATACCCACACTTGAAATGCAACCAAATCTTTAAAATTTTTGATCAAAAATCACCAAGCAAGGACGAGTCCGTTGAATTTAGTCCTCTGATTTATCACTGCCATTGATAAATATGGCGAGACCATTGGTTGCTAGAGGTTTACACGATACACTTCCGACAAGAGAAGGATGACAGGTGTCAAATATTAAATTTTTCAAGCTCATTAACATAATAGTTATACATTGTGCAAAAACTTGCTAAAAATTTTGCCAGTAAAATAGGCAACTCTTGTACACCAACGCATGAGCAATGCTACTTCGTGCGTGTAAAATGGTTGTTGTTCAACAGCCGATATATTCCGTTCTAGGTCGAAGTTAAAAAATGCCCACAAGTAGTTTTAAGAAAAAGTGTTGCATTAAATGAATCTTTGGTTTTATTTTTTTTACTCGAAAACGTAGCTCACCAAAGGCTTCAAACAAAGTGCAATTTCTCAATCCTTTTGTTTACATTTTGCGTTTTGCGAGTTTTGATTGGCTAATTTTTAGAAACGTAAACAAACCTCTGATTGACTCAAAACGAAATTCTCCTTTGTTCATCGCTGTCCTTAAATTAGTAATTTCCAAATGGGCTAATTTTAATTGCAGCTTTTGTTTAATAGTTCTATACATCTTTTTAACTGTTTGTATGACAATTGTAATAAGAAATATCATTATGACTGCAACATAGCCAGCCTACAACTTTGAATCCTGCCATGTAAAATTTGCAAAATAATCATTACTCATTTTTTGGTGATCTTTACATTTTGCGTTTTGCGAGTTTTGATTGGCTAATTTTAGAAACGTAAACAAACCTCTGTATGACTCAAAACGAAATTCTCCTTGTTCATCGCTGTCCTTAATTTAGTAATTTCCAAATGCGCCATTTGGCTAATTTTGCTTGCAGTTTTTGTTTAGTAGTTATATAGGTCTTTTGAACTATTTGTATGACAATTGTAATAAGAGAAATCATTATGACTGCCAAAATAGCCAGCCCACAACTTTGAATCCTACCATGTAAAATTTGCAAAATAATCATTACTCATTTTTTGGTGATCTATTGTGTCTGCATGCCAAGAGTTGACACATAAAACTAAGCATAACAGGACAAAATTATGGTGCACTAGCTACAACACTGATTTTACCTACAGCAATTTAATGAATGTGATTTTTGTGCTTCTTCTAACAGCTAGAATTTCTTCTAGGACGTTGATTTGAAATATTGTGGAAGTTCACATCGTCGTCGATATTATTGTAACAGTGACCAAACTTGCTGTTTTCGACCCGGTCATGCTGCTAAATACTACTGTTGTTTTCGAAATGCAGTATGTTGTCACAACGGGAATTGCTGCCCTCCTGGAACTGAATGCGTTAATCACAATCTTTGCCGCCATTTTCAAAATATGAGCAACTACTACGTAAAGTGAAATTCTTTGGTAGTCCATGAAACATTTTTACATCTAAAACGTTTGGGTGAATGGGTAAATATATGGAAACATTATAGCATAACAGAAATCAACACATGTTTTAAGTAATTATTTTATGACAAAAAATATAGTAGAGCTTGACATAAAATTGTTAACTTGTTATATTCTTTGTCGTCACGTTTAAGTTTAAATCAGTAGAGGGTAGTGATATTAAGGGTATGATATGGTCGAAAACGATATTTTGAAAATGTAATATAACGCTGATATTTTATATACATTAATAGGAGAATCTGAAATCGAACAGCCTTGTTTTAATGCTTGTTGATTTTGCTTCCAGAAGAATATATTTAGTTTATGCTTCTCGTCATTAAAAGAATTTTTTACTGCCAAAAAACAAACACGAATTGTTTTGCCGTAACCTTGGTTCTCATTAAATCGCTTGAGTCGACCGACCCGTTCCGAGTCGTTTCCTTGTTTTTCAAACGACTGGGACGACTCAAGCGATGTAATTCTCATATATTCGTACTAGCGCTGCCGAGAGACTGCTTAATTATTTTTTTTTACGAAACATTTAGAAATGGCAGCTGCTATTTATCAAAGACAAAGTCTTTATTTTCTTCTTCAAATCGTTTTGCGCCATAAAAATTCGCTTGCATTTCTTAACGTTCGTTTCGGTCGTCCGGATAGAGCAAAGTTCTATCCAAAGAGCAAAGCTCAGTCGTGTGAGTCATTTGACGTCATCCCAGTCACCTCTAATATGTTTTCATATAGCCGCACGGGTTTGGCACGGGTTTTGCACCACTGAAACATATAGTATGTTAAAGTTAAAGGCCGAGAAGCTGGGCTGTTTATAACATACAGAAAAAGAACAAAAATGCCAAGAAAGAGAAATTCATACGTCATTAAACTTCACATAATGTACATCTTGCCAAATTATATCCATTCACGCAGTCATATGGCTATCAAATTACTAAAGCAAAAGTATTTTGCAAAACTACAATTATTTCATCACACATCAACATTCACATGCCTGTCATGCTTGACATGATGATTATGCATATGGTCTTACAGAGAGCACATCACTATAGGGCATAATAGCTTTTAGGAAGAAGAAGAAAGAAAAGGACAGCAATAAAACAATAGCCAGGTATAATTTTACTCATTACATATAGACATCATTAGTATAGGCAATTTTGATTATTCCAATTACTAGAGACAGGGGCGTATCTAGAGTATGTCAAATCCGTCGCGCGACTGATGTTTGAATTCAAAAATTATTCTTACTTTATTATCGCATTTACTTCGTGATAAAAACCAGCTTCATTTATTATTGAAAACTAATGACTAATCCAATGAATATCTCGTTGGTAACCAGATCAGTTGAATTTTAATTGATCTGGAATAACCGACTGATAAGCGGGGTGGCTTGACTGGTTCGACTGATAAAGGAATCTATGAACGCCAAAACCGCTTATTTTATTGGTCAATGGCCAGATCAGTGGACAGCCTAGAATGGTCTCGACTGATAAGAGGGGTGACCGGACGTATAAGGGAGTCCAATTGCTATCTTACATTTGGTTCATTTGAATTTTTGTTTTATTGTGATTGGTTTGACCGAATTTAACTGATAGCCAACTGAAATAAAATAGTCAAGCTCACTGTCTGAATTGAATGTTTGATCATTTCATAGTAACTTTTATAAGCATGATAGAAACTAAACCTGAAAGATAAACCTGAGTATTCCACATACATGAAATGTTGTCCCATGTCACATATTGTCCCCTTTTTTAACTGAACACCTCATGTAGAGATGTAAAGGTGTGTTAATCTACAGCTCATATCAGATTGTTTGCCATAAATTCCAAAGGGCTATTGATGTATGAAAAGCATTTTCTTTAAATTAAAAATGTCTTTCTATGTATGCAGATAAACCTTGAAATTTGGCAAAAAAAGAAAAGTATTTTTCATGATCACTAGGTAATTTTTCTGATGATGATTATAATTTCTAAACTAAATTATTTCAGATTTACACTTAAACGAGCTTTGATCATATAAAAAGATATCATAACCAGGAAGCATGACATATGAACCAATTTTAACATTCATGTAATTATATAATTACATGTTGGTTACATTCTGTTTGTATTTGCAAATACAATGCTACTAGTGATTGCTACAGTGGCGTGCGGTCATGCAAGCGTAGGCAAGCGCCGCTTGCCTAAGCATTTTACCGAACAAAAATTTTTTGGAGCAATCTTTGAGCAAAATCAGTTTAAATTTTTCTGTTCTAAACAATGTCAATGTAATCTTTTGTCTAAATTGTCTTTACAGTTGAAATGCTTGCTATTTATACGCGATTTACTGTCGTGGTTTTCGGTTTCGCTTTGCTACACTTGTAAGATGAGTCAAGTGGATTAAATACACCTTAAAAATTTCTTATTTATTAACCAAGGCTAGCGCGCTTGCCTTCGGAGCTCAATTTGAACATTTGTGCATGCGTTAATCTAGATTTGGAGGCTTCTTATTCGAGGATCATCGAGAAAAGGCAAGCGGCGCTTCTAAGGGCGCCGTTTGATAGCGATTGGTCAACAGTCTTGTACGCTCGCAATTTTAAACACATATCAGCGCACGAATAATATTCGTATATTCAACACATTGGACATCCGAATTATTTACGCCGTTAATATTATCGTTTATTAAAAGATGACTGAGAGCGAAAGGTAATGTTCTGATTTCTAATTCAAAGTAGTAGGTGCTTTACTGGTTATTTTATTAATTTCTGCGCACAATGTGCGTAAACAAGCAGGGGGCGCAGTCTGCAGAGATATCGAAATGCACGCAAACGTGTATTGTGGTAAAGTATGACTAGCATTACGACCAAAACACTATGCTCTTGTCAGTCTTGTGTCGTTGAATTCGTAAATTAATGACTAAAAATAAAAGGGACAAGATACTAAATAATAAGCCGAAACCTGTTTTTGATATGATGTCAAAAATAATCGAACTTGACTTGAAAGCCTGTTTTCGAGAGGTGTACCGATTGTGTCAGCTCATTCTTACTATGCTAAGTACGTCCTCCTCTGCAGAAAGATCATTTTCGGCTCTCAAGCGTATCAAAACGTATCTTCGCAGTACACAAGGGCAAGAGCGACTTTCTACATTGGCTACAATTTCAATCGAGAAGGAGATGTTGGTAAGTTTGCAGGGGAAGCCACGATTCTATGAGGACGTTATAAAGGAGTTTTGCGCAAAGGAAAGACGGATGGAATTTACATTTAAGTAAATCTGTTGTAGGATTTTGGACTATTTCGTTCTGTTACTTCTTCACTACAATAGAAATGCACGCGTAGCCATTTACTTAAAACGACTTTATATCACAATACCACATGTAATACTTTTAAACCGTAATTGTGATATATACTCGATAAGAGTTTTTGAATTTTTTAGATTTTTTCAATACTGTTTCAGTCATGACAGATACATTTTTTCGACAAAGTACTCCCAGAAATCGCAGGAAATGCGCTCAAGTAGCCTTCAAAATCCAAACATTTTCTGGGGGAGCATGCCACCGGCAAGCTGCGAACCTCACCCCCAGCGCTTGCCTATTAAATTCGGTCACCGCACGCCACTGGATTGCTATATAGCACATCTTGCAAATATTTACAGAAGATAATAGTCTAGTGAAATGCCTAATAAACATTTATGGCATTAAGCTGTCCTTAACTGTAAATTTTCACTATGATAGTTTTTGCTTTATCTTTGGCAGAAAAAAATCTTGAGTTTTTTCTCAGAAAGTGAATTTGCTTGCACTCATGTGGAGGTGGGTAAAGGGTTACAATAAAGTTGCATGGTTTGAAGTCTGAGCTTTTCTATATCTATGAACTGTCACTTGTAGTACCAAATTTCTAACTTAACTCATTACATAGAGGTTTGAGTGGGTGTCTCTAGGGGGGGTCTATACCTGACAACTTGGTAGAAATTTTAAAGACTATATCTGTTTTTTTAATAGCATTATTATAAAGTAAATTTTACGTTCCTAGACATGCTAATGAGCCATATGTTTGGCATGATAATTTTTGGCAAAACATTCAAGTATTGTTCACTTCATTTTTTTTTTGAAAAAACGTATGCAAAATGTGTTGTTTTTACGCAAAAACGATGCCCACAAAATACATTTTGTATTGCTCTAAAACGCTAAAAATGACATTTTCAAGGCTCTGAAATACAAAATTTCTCTGGGGAGTATGCGTCAGACCCCCCCCCCAGGTGCGGAGCGCCTCCGACGTTTTATGACTGATGTTTGAAAAATCCTAGATCCGCCCCTGACTAGAGAGTGTATTTAAAATATGTATAAATACATTTATGTTATTTACCAGTTGAGACTCAAAGGTCTCAAAAAATTCTTGCATGGTTTTTTTTTCCTTTTTGGGTTTTACAAAACTTTTTCTAGGATCCTGACATTCAATTCAGAAATTTCGTTTTATGGATGGGCAATGTAATATCATGTGAATGAGAAAATAAAATATTATTCTGATTTTAATTAGCGGCTATAAGTTTTTACAATAAAATACAAATTTCAACATTTCATTTTAGTCATGAAAGTATTCTACATTATTTTGATTCTTTTGATTCTTCATGAATCGATCGAAATAGAATCAAACGATCTATCAAAGCAAAGATTGATAAACTCAGTGTCAGAGAGGAAAGAAAAAGGGGTATGTAGCTCTTCATGCTATTTTATCAATTAGTAGAAAATTGTAGGTGAGACAATACTGTAGAAAGCAAAGTCCCAACCACCGAGTAACATTGAATCATTAGAAACTATAAAATAACATATGCGAAACGCGTGATCTGATTGATTGATGCCCGTGTTTTGGATGAGACCCTGTGATAACCTTGGTGATTTGAATAGCATTCGCAAGGCTGTTTGAACATGCCTAAAAACAAAGACGATCTTTTGCCAATATTAGGGAAACACCAGCCATAAAGGTGACTGTTTTGGAACCTTTTGCCTACCTGCAATATTTTCAAATGTTTGGATCAAGCAATCTAAACATTTGAAACAGTTTAGTAAATGCTCTATACATTGACAACCAAAGGATAATGTTGTTCTTTTTTTAAGCGGGCGCAAATATGAGAGCTAAATTCACCCAAGTGAACAAAGCCGTAATATTTAGTAAAAATAGGCACGCAATGCGTTTATGTGGGTAGCCGGTTAAGTATATTATTACTAAATGAAGTAGATAATTTGAGCCTTTTTCAAATAAAAGAATATATTTAATATTATTTATCACGTGACTG